GATGGAAAATAAGAAGAGGTGTTATACTCTTTCTGGCAATGAAACATGTTAAGATGTTCCAAACACCAAACAGAATATCGATTTTCCAAGGCATCAACTTTGCATGAGTGAGGTTGATGCACACTTGATGCCTTGAAATTGGTATCTACTTGGCGCTTTGACCATCTTTACACCGGTTTTATTGCAGATAAAACCTATTCTTATATTTCGTCAATAGATGACTTACCGCAATTGCAATGCAGTGCCCTTGCCAAATAACCTCTGGCGATCCGGCAGCATTTGTTTAACAAGCACGAAGGGCAAAACCGGCCTCGTCATTGTTTGCTGTCGTGCAACATGCTGCTGAATTGTGTTGCTCTGGAGAGGCAACAACCGTCATCATGGTGGTGGTGGTGTCGACTCGTCCCGCACAGGACCTGCTCCCCGCTCTCGTAGAGGAAGAGGAATCACAGACGAGAAAGATGAACCACAGAAGAGGAAGAGGAACCACAGAAGAGGAACCACAGAAGAGGAACCACAGAAGAGGAACCATAGAAGAGGAACCACAGAAGAGGAACCACAGAAGAGGAAGAGGAACCAGAGACGAGAAAGAGGAACCACAGAAGAGGAACCACAGAAGAGGAAGAGGAACCAGAGACGAGAAAGAGGAACCACAGAAGAGGAACCAGAGACGAGGAACCAGAGACGAGGAAGAGGAACCAGAGACGAGGAGCGGGAAGGCAGCAGCAGTTGGCAGCAGGAAAGTGGCGAGGCGCCGTCCCGACCAACAATTGCCCAAACTCTGCGCGCCTCCACATGTGAAGGTGTTTTCGGCCAATTCATGACGAGCGCTTACTCCGCGTGGCAGGGCAGCGGGAGTAACCCGCGCGCGCCACGGGGAATCACTCTCTCGCGTACAGGCGGAACAGGCAGTGCCGGATTATCTTGGTAGCAAAAGTAGCTACATATGCTCCGGGCCCGGCACTTTCAAGCTATCAATTCCGGTTCAGTGATTCTGCACTTGCTCTATTACTATAGTACTATACCGCCTTCAACTTTTAAGAACGACTGGGTGTTTAAAGTGTTATCTGGCTGTATAGCAAATGAATAAATACAATTACTTTACGATGCAAGTTGAAACTTTGTGTTTTAATATTTATATTTTTATTTATTTAGCGCCCCTTTATAGCATCACATGTTACAGGCCCCGCACGAGCTGAATCCGCCCCTGGGACCAGGTGGACATACGCGTTACCACCTCCTCGACCCCCGTTTGTGTGGCGATCCACCAGCCCTTGCTGCTGCTGCCACCACAGCGCTGGGTTGCAGGCCACGTGGGTAGCCGCCGCCGCCACCACCACGACCATCACAGCCCAGAAGTTGGAAACCGGCCCAGGGTTTTGTGTTATTGTTGCAACAAACGCTGCTGGCTGGACCGTATTGCAGTCTGGATATCTCGGCTGATGGTGAACAGCCGTGGTGTTGTGCCTGGAGACAGAACTGAGTTGTGCGTGTATGGAATTGTGTGCGAACCCAGCCCAACTCGGGCCATCGGAGTCACTCCCATTGGAGGAGAGGGCAGGTGGGGGTGGGGGGAGAGGTTGGGGTCTGTGGGCTCCTCTCCGCAGGGAGCCACTAATAGAGGTAACTGGGCAAAGCGAAACGCTTTCTTCACTCTGTTCACGGTTCATTAAGAAGAACGGCAGCAGCCATAGCAGCAGCAGCCATAGCAGCAGCAGCAGCCATAGCAGCAGCAGCAGCCATAGCAGCAGCAGCCATAGCAGCAGCAGCAGCCATAGCAGCAGCAGCAGCAGCCATAGCAGCAGCAGCAGCCATAGCAGCAGCAGCAGCCATAGCAGCAGCAGCAGCCATAGCAGCAGCAGCAGCCATAGCAGCAGCAGCAGCAGCCATAGCAGCAGCAGCAGCCATAGCAGCAGCAGCAGCCATAGCAGCAGCAGCAGCCATAGCAGCAGCAGCAGCCATAGCAGCAGCAGCAGCCATAGCAGCAGCAGCAGCCATAGCAGCAGCAGCAGCCATAGCAGCAGCAGCAGCCATAGCAGCAGCAGCCTAGCAGCAGCAGCAGCCATAGCAGCAGCAGCAGCCACAGCAGCAGCAGCAGCCATAGCAGCAGCAGCAGCCACAGCAGCAGCAGCAGCCATAGCAGCCACAGCAGCAGCAGCAGCCATAGCAGCAGCAGCAGCCATAGCAGCAGCAGCAGCCATAGCAGCAGCAGCAGCCATAGCAGCAGCAGCAGCCATAGCAGCAGCAGCAGCCATAGCAGCAGCAGCAGCCATAGCAGCAGCAGCAGCCATAGCAGCAGCAGCAGCCATAGCAGCAGCAGCAGCAGCCATAGCAGCAGCAGCAGCCATAGCAGCAGCAGCAGCCATAGCAGCAGCAGCAGCCATAGCAGCAGCAGCAGCCATAGCAGCAGCAGCAGCAGCCATAGCAGCAGCAGCAGCAGCGTCTCGTGTCCCGTAGCGGCGCTCGCGAGACGATTGCCGGGACGCTGCGACCTCGCGTCCCGCGCGGGTGACTCGGGGCCACTGGGACCCGCGGCGCAAGCGGCATCCACTCGCACCGCAGGGCTCCTATGAAGATCTTGTGGCACTGTTGGTTCCCATGTGGAGCTGTGGGCCCCTGACGGAGCTATGAAAAACGTGTGGACCTGTGGGTTCCCATGTGGAGCTGTGGGCCCCTGACGGAGCTATGAAAAACGTGTGGACCTGTGGGTTCCCATGTGGAGCTGTGGGCCCCTGACGGAGCTATGAAGAACGTCTGGGCCTGTGGGTTCCCATGTGGAGCTGTGGGCCCCTGACGGAGCTATGAAAAACGTCTGGGCCTGTGGGTTCCCATGTGGAGCTGCGTCCCTGGAGGAGTTGCTGGGTGTGCGTCCTGCCTCAGGGGAAGCCGCGTGCAGCGAGACGCGTCGGCAATGAAGCTGCGCCAAGCGGGAAGCATTGCTGGGGGAGGCGACACTGGTGGGTGGGGGTGGGTGAGATTGCAGCGGGAAAGGTGTTGACGGGGGTCTCTGTTGGGGGTATCCGAAGGGCCCCTGTATAGATATTAGACGGGGATAGCAACAGCGGAGTTTGTGGCCTCTGACCGCGTGGACGAGACTCGTCCGCGGCTTCACAATAACGACGAGTGGGATGAGTGGGGTGCTCTTTGGGTTGCCATGAGCGGAGATTATGTCTGGGGGAGACTCTCCCAACCCCCCCCCCCCCCCGTTTTCAGTGTATGCACTCCCCGTGAAATGACGGCAGAGATAAAAGCCAGGCATGCAGCGAGGAGAGCTGCAGACATCGAGACAAAAGTCATTCGCGTGTGCGTGATATCTGGAGGTTATATTCGGAGCCGAATAAAGAGCTGCCCTTGTGCGGCATTCACGTTCCTCATGACTGCCGGGCCCCTCGATCCACTTCAGGGTCCGAGCATACCAAGCTAATACAGCCCATCAGGCGCGTCCTTCAGCCCCGATCTCCGAAGATTCACATCGCACGTGCCTCCCCCACCACCACCCCCCTCTCGCGACCCCCAAGATGCCAGCGACTCGGCCCCCATCGCGGATTATTCCACTGGGCCCGCGGCTGAACCCTCCGCCCGATTGTCGGCCACACGGAATGGCACGGCAGCAAATGGGGGGGGGGGGTGAAACTCTCTGCCCGTGATGCGAGGGGGTATAGAGCGAGAGGGGAGAAGCGCGTAAATGGGCAGGGGACGGGGCAAGAGGGGAGGGAGGTGGGTCCGCACTCAGCCTGGTTTCCTCCACCTTGCCCTTGCCCCCCCCCCCTCACCTGGACTAATGACTCTGCGACCTTGGGCCTTGGCCCCTGACGCGTTAATTAAGCGGAGCGCGCCACGTGGGGGCAGCGCGAGTGAAGATCCCCCGGCACGACGTCCATCATCGTCGTCGTCGTTATCGGCTGGGGACCCCCAGGTGGTGGGGGGGGGGGGGGAGGTAGCCCACGCCCCCCACAACCAAATAGGAGACGCTTCAGCGGCAATGTTCACCTCGGGAGAGATCAGCGGTGGAAGTTGTGGCCATGCCATCGTTGCTGTTATTTGGTGACCACGACAGGGTTCAGTTTTGAGCCTCAGCGAGTCTCAAGGCTCTCCTGCATCCAGCAGTGGCTTGGCAGTCGCACCCATCTCTCGGTGACCCGGCGACCCTCTCCTCGCCCCGACAGCGCTCGTCATGAACGCGCAGAGCGAGACCTCCGTTTGGAGATGCCATCACTCCCAAGGGTCGGGGCCAATCCCAGAGAAAAACCGCGTCCCATTGGGGAGCCCGCGCTCGGCCTCCCGCCGACCACGACGATGCCGTGCACCATCGACCCCACCGCACTCGCTCTCTTCACTCCGCACCGCCGACAAGGACGCCAGATGGATCGGGGCGGGCACCAGTTTGTGATTAAAGCGCTCAGTGAACCGCCTGTGTGCCAATTGCAGAGTTGTCACCCCATGCCCGGTCCGAAACTCCTGCCTGCCCGTTCTCTCTTGCGTTGTCCAGAACTTCTCATCTCGACCGCCCCCCATCTGTCAGGAGCAACCGTGAACAACAGCGTGTGTGGCCTTTAATAGAAACACGGATCTAGCAAGAGTAATCGGCGACGCTATTGACACAATGGCCATTGTTCACAAGCAGCACAGGCAGAGACCGCAGAGGTGCAGTGAACTCAGTGTGGGGGGGGGGGGGATCTCTGTGAATCGATCGCCCCGTGTTCTTACACGAGATGATTCCATCACGGGGGGATGGGGGGAGGAGATTAGCTCGCACGCTATGTAGGCGGGGTTGGGGGTGCGAACGGAGCAGCGAGAGGTCGCCTTTGGTTGAAGGTTGCCACCAGATGGGACACGGTCCGGTCTGTTGGATTTCGCCAGGGAGCCAACGCCACTCCGGCTCGTTACCATGGCAGCTGTCCAACACGGGAAGCACGAAGAGGTCCTTCCTGTGGTTCCCCGGCAGCCAAAGGGCGACCGTGAGCGCGACTGCGCGCCATGAGCACGCATTGGCCGAGGGGTAAAAAGAATTTGCCTTTATTACAGAGCGGGCGAGTGAAGGACGGTGGGTGGGATGGGCGGCGAGCGCGCTGAGGGATGGAGGCCTCTCCTCTGTGGAGAAACGATCGACTCGGATGCAACATTATCACCACCATCATCATGATCGCCCTTCACATGATATCGCAATCACCTCCACCATCACCTCCTTCCCACCAGACATCGTGTGTGTGGTTCAACAGGGCGGCGTGTGTGTGTGTGGTTCTACAAGGTGGTGTGTGTGTGTGGTTCTACAAGGTGGTGTGTGTGTGTGGTTCTGCAAGGCGGCGTGTGTGTGTGTGGTTCTGCAAGGCAGTGTGTGTGTGCTTCTGTAAGGTGGCGTGTGTGCTTCTGCAGGGCGGCATGTGCGTGCGTCTCTGCACTATCCGTGCGCCGTCTCTGTGACGCGCAGCGCCAGCAGCTTGCTCTGCGTGAGCAGGAACACTCGCTCGTCCGTCACCACGAAGCCCAGGAAGGGCTCGGAGCCAGCGGCTTCCAGCGTGGCCACCTGCAGGAGACACGAGCGCCGCTCACCTCACCATCGCTCACCTCACCATCGCTATCACCGCACCCTTCCACTCACCTCACCGGCACCCTCGCCCTCGCCGCATACATAGTCATGCATATCGTGCTTTGTTTCTCATGGATTTCCGGAACGTTGCTAGGCTGGCTTCGGGGTAGAGATTATTGGCGTAAGGGACCGGCTATCCACAACAATCCTATATTCTCATTCCCTGTATTCCTATAATCATATAATGTTAGGCGGATGTGGCTGCCAAATTAGTTCCTGGAACACCTCCTCTGTAAACGCACGGAGACACAGATTCCCCGTACAGCCTTCCACCATCATCATTGTCGCTCTCTCCGATTTCGTTGTCCTGCGAAAATGCACCTGTGTGCTGCGCGCGTCGTCACCCGAGACTAGGAAAATCCGGAGTGGAGTGTTGTGCTTCCTGAACCGGGGCCTGAGAGCTGCTGCCACCGGCACGCGTGGAAATAGAGGTGAAACTGCGATACAAAGTTTGGGAGTCCTTGGCTCCACTTGGACAGCACGGCTGCGGCTCTCGCACGCATGAGCCAATGAGGGCGGCTCGGGCCAGGCCTGCCTGCCTGCCAGGGCCTAAATGGGCTTCATGACGTTGATGCCACGTGGGGGGTAGTGTTAGCTTTTGTTGTTTTAATTGTAGGAGGCAGTGGGGGCAACGCTGGCACACCACGCGCCCATCCCCGCGGTCGTTATGTTAGTGCCGCCGTCTCGGCTCCGTGGGTGTGGTTATATTGGTGTCGTTGTTGCGCTGCCGGCGGGCCGGCACGTTCACCTGCTGGCGCGCGACGCGCCCGTCTCCCGGGCGGCCGCGCTTGCGGAGCTGCGTGCCGGGAGACGCGGCCGGCTGGCGGTAGAGGAAGACGCGGCGCGAGCACTCGCACAGCGCCGCAAATGCGCGGCCGGGCGCGCACGCCAGGAACTTGCGCTCCTGCTTGGAGGCTTGAACGTAGCCTGCAGCACGGGAGGGGGGCAGCGCGGGGGAGCGGAACACAGAGAAGATTGTACACACAGTACGGACAACACACGGACAACACAAGAGCATGCAGACTACACAGCACACAATACAGCGCTTAAACACACACAGCACACACGAGTACAGGGTAACAGTACACACATGCAACACAGAAACAGGCAGCAGACACACACAACAGACGGCGCACACAGCGCGCACACACAGTGCGCACACACAGCGAGCACACACAGCGCCCACACACAGCGCCCACACACAGCGCCCACACAGCGCGCATACAGCGCGCACACAGCTTCGCCACCTGCTACATGACTCAGTTGACCCCCTGCACAGACACCAGATCACGGGTCAGTAGGAGGCACAGGCCAATCAGATTCCACCACACGGCCGCAGGGAGGGGCTGGTTTGTGGGCCGCGGGCCGCGATGGCCCTCCCTCACCCCGGGCCCCGTCGGCCCGCGAGAGAGTGAATCCGGCTCGGGGAGGAGGCGGCTGAGTCTCAGATTAAATAATCCACGAGCCACTCGAGAACGAAATTAAATTCACCAAAGTGACGGGACGTCAACAAGGCCGCCCGTCGTCACCCCCTGTCGCCGGGGCGAACCCTCAGAAGTTAAAACGGAGAGGCGGGCGGCCGGGTGGCTCGGAGGTAAGAGACGGCGAACCGCCTCCGCCGGGAGATCCAGGGTCCAATCCGGGTCACAGCTGCTGCCCGCGATTGCAAGGGAGCGGGGTTCACAAGGGAGTCACGAGCGACTCGCACGGAAACTCACGGGTGTCGTCACGGGTGTCGTCACGGGTGTCGCCGCGGGTGTCGCCGCGAGACAGCGGCGCCAATAGCGCAGCAGGGATAAAAGCGGGGAAAACGACAACAATTTCCCTGTGAAACCACAGCCGCTACAAAGTGAGAATCACCCTTGTGGACGCCGCTCGGTTGGCTCGGAGACGATTTTCCTAGAGCAGCGGATCCGCTCGGCAGCGCCAGGCTCCGGCTCAATTAATCACCGTCAGCGCCAACATACGGCGCGTCCACAAATCAGCGCCGCCCCATCAATCTCGTAAAGGGATCTCCCGGGCTGCCGGTCGCCATGAGGGACCGCTCCTCGCCGGCCCTTCCAAGCCACCGCGACGGCACCCGCGGGTATTCCGCTCACGCGTGCGTCACGCATCACACGTCGCGCGTCGCGCGCTAGCCGCGACACAGCCAAAGCCGCGACACAGCCAAAGCCGCGGCAGGCACCGCGAGCACGGCTCACAGCGGCGAGGGTGGCGGAGTCGCCGCGAGTGTTAAACAGGCGACGCTGCGAGTGGTAACGCGGCGTGATAATTGTGCGCGCGGCAAATTACGCGCGGACACGCGCTCGGGCATGCGGTCCCGTGGCCTCGCACGACCCCCCCCCCCCCCCGCCATACGCGTGTGTTCATTAGACCACAGGTTTTGCGACCCACAGGAAGGGATTGAGGAGCCGTGACTCCAGGATTTTTAACCCGTGCCCACGATGCAAGTCATTACTGGGGGGAAGGGAGATTGGCAGGGATCGTAGACCTGTGCGTGCGGAATTCGTCAGTGAGCAGCGTGGGTGGGTGACGTGCGTCATCAAGCAGCGGGACACTGGGGCAGCGAGGAAAGGTTTCCGTGACCGCTGCAGCGAAGATGATCGCCCACTCCCCATCGCTCATGATGATGCAAACCAGAATGCGCCCGACCTCATAGAAACTCACAAGGCGAGCAGCATGGAGCCTGGTCCGTAATTGAGTGTGAGACCTGTCCCTTTAAACTCTAACTCTAAACCCTAACTGTAACCATTAACCAATAACCTCCAACCCATAAACCTATCGTCTAGCTTTAGCCCTGTATCTGTGGCGCTGTGGGGGGGGGGGGGTCGGCATGGCGTGCTTGAAAATCGTTAATGCAATCGGCAGCGACAACGGGCAGCTGTACCATGTAAGTGTGCGTGTGTGTGTGCGTGTGTGTGTGCGTGCGTGTGTGCGTGCGTGTGTGTGAGCATGAACCCGGCGACCTGAGTTCTATTCCCGCTCACGGTCAACACCAGTGATGATTATCTGAACCGGTTCTGGGCCTCCCCGAGGTCGACTCAGCCTCAAATAAGTACCTGGCGCGACGTGTCAAAATTTTCCAACAGAAGTGGCCGGGCGTGGTGCTGGCCACCCACCCCTTTGTGTATCGTGTTGGCCCGAATAAGTGCTCGCTAACAGCACTTGCCCCAAAAACCTGGGGATCTTTGTCTTTGTGTGCACGGGGTTATAAACGAGACTGACTTATCGGGCTTGGCGTGTGTGCTGACAGGACCCGGCCACACCGACTTAGCATGGCAATCCCTCCACAAGCCACCGCATCGATCGCTATTCATCGTGAACAAGCGGCTGGCTGGGCTTGCCGAGGACTCTCTCCACACACACGCCGGAATCGCCCGAGTCCATCCAGAATCGCTGCTACCGCCGGCGACAGAATTTGCGCGGCGATCGAAAACTCGTTACGGCGAGTGCAGGGGTTGCGGGGCGATGTCCCCCCACGATCGTCGGTGCGTTACCGGGCGCTCTCCCAAACCTCCCCCCACACCACCCCCTTCCGTGTTGCGAGTTCACGCGGCCGCTTTTGTTTGAGTTCACGGAACCCATGCTACCCAAGGGCTCAAGAGTTCGGGCCTATTATGGCACCATGCGACGCGTACCATGCGACGCGTACCATGTGACGCGCACCCTTTCATCTTGTGCTGTGCGTCGTATTCCCCGCCCGCCGCGCCCTGTGCAACGTCCCCCATCCACGCTCACCCAGGGCGTTGAACGTGTCCAAGTGCTCCCAGGGCCTGGCGTCGTCCTGGGGCCGCGGGCGCCACAGCAGCGCGTCCACGTCGTGCCGCAGGCACAGGCCCGGCATGTCCCCCGCCGCGAGCTGCGCCGTGAACAGGAACTGGTGGCCGCCCAGGTTCACCTGGCAAGGCACCGGCACAACCCGTGGTCAGGGCCGCCACGCCACCGCCACGCCGGGGCCCGCCGCTCTCCTCCCACGCTGAAAAGGATTCGGCTCATCGTGGCCTGAATATTACCCCCGACCCTTCCGACTGCCCCCCACCCCGGCATGTATTAATCACCGCGTACTGCGCACGTGGCGCAGATACACCGCGGCCATTCACAACACAGCAACAAAAAACCGAACAATGCATAACGGAAGCCAGGAAAGATGCATGCTGGTGATTACCCCGGGAGACAGACAGAGGCACACGTGGATGAGAGAAGACACGCAGGTGAACGACATCATCTAAGTGAGCGAGGTATGGGCAGGATGCAATTGCCGACGGTCAAGAACGGTGCCGGAGCAGCATCCGAGGAACAGGACGTGTCCGACAGGGCGTCCACCGAGGAGACGGAGGGATGGAATGGGCTCGTGCGCAGGTGCTGGGAGGAATGTTGCATCGCAGGATCACGAGAGAGAGCGGCAGCTTGGGGAGTCCTTAATCCAGCAGTGGGTTACTCGTGGCTGATGATGGTAATGATGAGAACCACCCCCCCCCCCACCTCCCGTCGTCAAGACCCTTGCCCCCCCCCCTCCCAGGACCCTCGTGCTCCCGCGTGCACGCCTCTCTCGCTCTCTCACTCCCGTCCTTGCATTAAGACCGCGGCGTGGGCAATTTGTCCCAATTGTTCATTGAAAAACCTAATCTCAGCAGCGCTGGTTCTCAAGCACACTCGGAGGCACAGCGGGGGGAGATGACTGCGTTGTTCACTCGGCCTTCGGGAGGGACGCGCGGAGCCTCGCAGGAGCGGCGCATGTGCTCGGCTCCATGGCCCTTTGACCATTTGTCCCCGGTTTCGTTCAGACTGCGCGACGGCAATCAGCGACGTGTCACGACGCGGAGAGTTCTCTCCGGCGCGTTTGCGGTTATCGCCGTGCGACGTCCGGTGCGTCTCTCCACGTGCTGGCAGCATCTTCGGCGTGCGGAGCGAAACGTGGTACGCGCGAAAGTGCCGCTGCCGAATGCGGCCGCTTTTGTCTCTCCGATACCGATGATGTACACACCGCACCAGCTACTCTTTTAAGGCTAAGTCGAGCTAGGAGAGGCCCAGGACCGGTTCAGACATCCGTTACGGGTGTTGGCCATAAGCGGGAATCGACCTCGGGTTGAGTTCATAGCGCAATGCGCTGACCTACTACACTAATGCGCTGACCGCTACACTAACACGCACGCACCCAAGATCTTGAGCACTCGCACATTCAAACGCCCACGCCTTTACACACTCGAACGCCCACACTAGCCCTGCCGCCCGCTGTAGCTCAAGAGGGAAGAATAAGAATAGGGATGCCAATTTATTTATTTATTCACTGTTCGGATGAGAAACGCGGGGGGAAGGGGGGGGGCGGTGGGCCCTTCTCGTGATGATGATACTTGAGCCTCGTGCACCGGGCGGTGCTCGCCGACACGCGGCGCGCACGGAATGCCGATTCTCCTTGACGGGGACCATCTCAGCGAGAGATCGAGGAGGGATCGCGGCGCCAAACACGGGGGCCCGGGACGACGCAGAACGCTCGTACGACCTTTTGCCCCGCGGGGGTTTTGCACGGAACACCCGCCCGCGTGCGGCCCTCGCGAAATAATTACCGCGGCTGGCTTTGAGCTGTCTCCGGCAACCGGTGACACTGTTCGGAGCCGAGGCATCCGTTGTTCGCCGTCATTTATTTGTTTATTTTATATTTCTTCGATTTGTCACAAACTTCACCGCGCTGCAGGGAAATTAATCCGCCAATCGTGGATGACGACTTGATGAGATAACCCGCGGGGCGCACCGAGGGCGGGCGGGCAGCGGGTCGGGGCGGCGTGCCGGGAGATCGGTGACGTGCAGAGGTCGCAACCGGGTACCCGATACCCATACCCTGGTGCGGCCGGGTACAGGTACGGGTAGGCCGTGAGTCACTGGTGAGTAACCGTTTGTCACTCATTTCGGGTAGGGTATGGGTACGGGTAGGGAACGGCTACCCGTAACCTGCCGGGTACGGGTACCCATTTGCGACCCTGGTGCGGCCGGGTACGGGTAAGGAATAAAAACCCATTTGCGACCTCTGGTGACGCGTCTGCTGGGAGACGATGGGTGGTGCAGTGGTTAGCTCACTGCGTTTCAAAACTCGGCGACCAGAGTTTGATTGCTGCTCACGGCCACCAGCAACCAGTGGCGATTATCAGAACTGGTCTTAGTTCTCTCCTAGGTCCGCTCAGCCTTAAAATGAGCACCCTGTGCAGCACTGGGAGACAAAGACGGCCCGGCGTGTGCCATGCCAGCTTTCATTAGGTGCTACTAGCTGACAGCACTTGCCCCGGACAGTCTGTCGAGGCTACACGGGGGATCGTTGTCTTTGTGTGGCGGGAGCAGGGCCACGCCACACCTCATCGGCTGCAGACGCGGCCGCTTGGCAGCGCTCGCCAGACGAGCGGCGGAAGGAAACGACGTGGCGACAAACGCATCGTCAAAAAGGGCGCACGCGCAGACCAATTCGCTGTTTCCCTTCCGTAAGCGTTTGCCATTATTGTCGTCATCATCGCGGCATCGGTCGGGGATGCTTTGTGGATTCATCATTGGTTTGGCGAAACTCTTTGATCGATTTGCTTGGCTTTCGCTCGGGCGAGTCCCGAATTGCAGCACAGCTTTACTCTGAAGTGTCGTTTACGGGAGCTATACGCGGACAGACAGAGCCGACGCTTAACAAAGCATTCACACTCTCAAAAACCTCGGTTGCACACGCGAGGAGGAAATGGACTCGTGAGCCGGATCGCGACCTAAAACCCACCGGATTTGGAACCCGGGGCGCCGAGTGAGCACGCAGGGAATGACGGTAGCAGTGGTCGATGGAAATTACAAAACGAGTTTTCAAGTGGCCCCAAGATAAAAGCTGAAATTATCACCACAGGTGGGGTTAAGGGGGAGTGGGGGGGTCTGTATTTGGCGGAAATTTTCCAGGGCTCCACCCCCCCCCCCCATATCAATGCATGCCTCCTTCCCCACCCCCAACCCACGGCGATTTTCTTTCCATTACGAAGCAATCTGTGTTAATTGCGGTCGACGCAATTATCCGACGCACGTTTGCTCGGGGATAGCAATTTTCCCGTGGAGCGAGGCCTCCGCATCGATTCCCCGATTCCACACCCACCCCGCCACCCCCTGCACGGCCGCTCTCGCCCACAGGGTCATCGTCCTCACCATCGTCATCCTCACCGACGGTGCGCGTGGGCGAGTCAACCGAGCACGCTCACCGTGTAGGTTCGTGCGTGAGAGTCGCCGTCGATGCGGCACAACGTGGCCATCTCCTCGGGAGCGGCGTCGCACTCCTCCAGCTGCTGCGGGTTGTACGCCACCTGCTCCACGGGCTGACGGCGCAACCATGGTCACGACCACGGTCACCACCACGGCAATTACCACAATCGCGACTGTGATCACGATAGCCGTTCGAACCACAGCTACACGAAAACTACAACCGCAATCAATCTGAACCCAAAAAAATCAGTTTACAACCACGGTTGACAACATGATCTGCAACCACAACCTTGGTGATAACGTCGCGGCAAAGGGGGAGAAGCTCACACAGTGGCGCCCACACTAGCCACACACCAGCCACACACCAGCCTACCAGACACCTCCAAAACAGTTCCACAATCAGCACACAAATTGCGAACGACGTGACAATGAATGTTTGACGTCCACTGTGAAGCAGTACTTTGTACGGTAAATATGCCTGCAGTATTCACCAGGGCGGCCACTCGATTCGAACCGTGAACCTCATATTTCATTAATTCTGTTGTATTACATGGATTGGGCACTTGAGTATGGAGATCGGTGATGCCTGCCTCTGGCTATTATAATTATTTTGATCATCAAGAGGCACAGTCTCAGCTGCTCCTTCAGCCCGGCACATAAGTCATATGTACACGCGTGTGGGTGTGTGTGAGTGCGTGCGAGTGTGTCCCCGTGTGTGTGGAGAGCGGGAGTTCAAGCCGTTAGTGTGCTACGATTTGAACCCTGCGATTCGAGTTCAATTACTGCTCACAACAAATATTGGCGACGCATATCTGAACCGGTTTCTCGCTCACCCTAGGTCGACTCAGCCTTAAACGAGTACCTCGTGCAGTGTGTAAACATCAGTACTGAGGATACAAAGGCCGCCGAGTGTGGCGCTCACCACACTATCTCATTTCACACGTGCGTCCTTGAATTTGCGGCGAGCGCGCCAATCCAGCAGGTTAACAACCGCTGTGCCATGCTAAATTGAGTAATTAGCATTTCCCGGCTCGGCAAGGAAGCGTGACAGCTGACACTCGATTAACGAGCAAATCTATGCCGGCACGACCGCGCATCGCCACATGTCCCGGGTGCCAAATAACACTCATTAGCACCGACGAGAGAAACAGTTTAATCGGTTGAATAAATACCCGACGAGCACGCGCCGCGGGCAGGCCGGGCTGCTGCGTCCGTAGCGAACGCGGCTGTCGAGCGATGGGACTCCTCGTCTCGCCGGAAGGACGGCGCGTCACGCCCGCGAGCGATCTCGACGCCGCGGCACCGTGAATGCCGTGTGGATGAGCCACGTTCACTGCCCGCATTGCCGGACACGGGCGTGCGCTCCGCCTGCCATCCAGCGCTTCGGAAGCGAGGGTTGGTGTATATATGTGTGGACGTATATATGCGTGTATATGTATGTAGAACTTCTTTCGCACCATACCTAGCCAACCGTACCAATAGGAGGTGCAGGCTTCTGTGAAACTCCCAAACCCGCCGAGCTACGAAGTAGCAAGGTGATGACAGCACAGCGAGTGGGTCAGTGAACCTGTCTGCCGGGACCTCGTGAGCGTTGTCCCATCGCATGCTTGGCGGGGTTTTCTCCGGGTTCTCCGGTTCCCTACCACGTGAAGCTAAACCCGCACGAGTGGAAAGATCATTCTCATTGTGGCCACATCACATACGCGTGACGAGTTCCCCCCCGGGTTCCCAGTTTGGCTTCGCGTGGCAGGGTACCATCAAGTGAATTGGCCAAACATCCCGATGTAGCAGGACGCTCCTGAAAGAGTCTCGAGACTCAGTGAGGCTTTCCTGGATGAACCAAACTCACTGTACGAACAAATGCTGTGCACTCGGGCAGCGTTTGCCAACGTCCTTGCGTGTGTTTGTGTTTGACACACGAGCGTCTCGCCGGCACCAGGACCAGCGCGAGGAGGGCGCCGGAGCGGGCACCTGCACTGCACGGGCTCACGCCACGCCGCCGCTGCCGCCACCTACCCGCCGCTCAAAGTCGTCCCCTTGAGTCGCTCCGTTCGCTCCGTTCGCTCCACCCACTCCACCCGCCAGCAGCTCAGCCCAGTCCCCGCTAGGCTCGGCCTTCATGAGCGTGAGCTCCAGCCTGCACGCAACACGAGGGTGCACGGCTCACAAGGCGGCCACAGACTCGCACCCCCACGACGCGCCGCACCTCCACGACACGGTCGGTCTTTGGGTTGCGGGGGTCACGATTTGACTCGCGCATCGCTTAGCGTGGCCCTGTTTATACCGTCTCATTTTTATGTGTTTCACGTGCACCGTTTCTATTTTTAAGGGACAAGGCAATAATAAGTGAAAGTCAGAGGAGAAGAGGATGGAAGATGTTGAGAGCCCGGACTTGAACAGAGGTAGGGAGTCGACAGCACGGGTGGCTGGGGAGAAAGACTTCTAGACTACAGGGGCAGCAGAGGAAGAGCAGAAACCTCCACCAGGCGAAGGCTGTGAACAAGCGTGGCAGCTGTCGACCGTAACTTGAAAGTATTTATTTTTACCAATTAATAAAGCTTCAGGCTCGAGTGGGGCAGCCCCGTGACACACAGTGTAAGCTTACAGCGGTTTGTTAGTCTGGGCCGTGTCTGCTCAGGCTGGATGTGGCCCACGACTTAATTTCATACGGCCTGTGGCCCCACGAGGCCTGCTCCCACTTCTAAACCGCCTGCAGTGTTCCTCCGTCACTGCGAGCATCTTCGCCATACTGATCGGGCACAAGAGGTTGGGGGGGGGGGGGGGGGGAGTATTTTCGACTTGGCAGTGAGGCAGTCCGTCACGTGGCCGTCACGTATGTTTAGTTTTGCGTTGTTACTAACTGGACGACGCTTACGTGACTGAACGTTTGTGTGTGGCCGCTCGGGGGAGCGGTGGCACAGTGGTTAGCGCCTTGCGTGATAAACTCAGCGACTCGATTCACGCTAGCCACCAACACTGGTGACGAATATCCGAACCGAGCCTGGGCCTCTCCTGTAGGTTGACTCGGCCTCAAATAAGTATCAGTACTCGGGAGACAAAGGCGACCGGGCATGGTGTTGGCCACCCATCCCCTCGTGTGCAGTGCCAGCCTTCAAAGGTTCTCGCTAACAGCTCTTACCCCAAAAGTCGACTAAGGTTATACGGGGGATCTTTGTCTCTGCGTGACCTTCAATGGCCACGCAAAGGTTCCAACCACACAGCGTCGAGCTCCAGCCACTTTGCAGACGAATAAAGAACAACCAACGTACCTGGCACCATCACCATTGTAGCCACACACGGCGATCACGAAGGCGCTATGTCTCACAGATGGGTCGGAACCGCCGAGCGGTTCGCGTAGTTTTCAAATTGGGCAATTGTAGCCCACGACGCCGGCACGCGGAGTCGCATTCCGGGCTGCCGCCGGGGTAGAACCCAGAAAGCCCTGGAAGCAGGCGGGGCAGGCACTGGCGCTCGTCTCGCACAGACGGTGCCGCCGCCGCCGCCGCCGCCCTCTCGGCGCGTTTGAGTGACCGCGCTCCCCATTAGCGCCACTTCCCTCTTCAGCCCCTTCCCATGGCGACGTGCCGGCGCTCCGACGGAACGCACCCACGGCCCCCACCGCCATCCCTCGGCCCCTTCCCTTTTGTCAGCTCCACAATCACAAACACCCCCACATTCCGCTCCCCCCCGCCCCCGCTCCACTGTGGCGGTGGTGTCTCAGAGAGTGTGTACCAGCAGTCGACGTTAATTAGCGATCGGGGGGCGGTGGAGTGGGGGGGGGCTTCGCTGCGGATTCCGCGCGGAGGAAGTTACTCCAAAGCAGAGCACTCGCTCGGAACGCTGCGACGTTCGGGAACGCCTCGCTATACGCTGGGGAATTCCGGATCCAATTGAACGCCTTACAAAAACAGATTGCATCGTACAAATACAAGAATGATTGCCAGCATTTCATCATCCCACTGCTGGATGTATGGTCACACTTCACCACGCTGGTCAGTGCGGGTGGCTAAAGGGTGGGAGGTGCCCAGGTCTGGTTCAGATGTCGCTTTGCCACCGATGTTAGCCGTGGCCGGGAATCCAGCTCTGGTCATGCATTATACAAACACCCACGTTGCACTGCGTTGCTTTGTACTTGTCGAGATCGACAAGCAGCTCAAACAATGGAACACAGCGGTCCCTTTGTGCCGATGGGAGTGGGTACCGGGATTAGTGGGCTCTGAAAAGGGGGCCATTCCCCACGCGCCGTGTCAGTCATGGGGGTCGTTTGGCCATACCTGACCACGCTGGCACCGTGGGACACACCGTCACACACTTGGCGAACTCCAGAAGTGTCCTGGCTACGTCCCAAGTCACTCGTCCCTGCAGCCTCATCACTTCCTGTGCGTGTCGGTTGTGGGGGGCGGTCGTGTGGAGATGTCCCCCCCACCCCCCCAGGGACCCCCCCCCCAAGTCTTGGTGACATTGTACGAATATCGATGCAGGAATTAGCATCAAGAACAAGTGACTGCCCAAGTCAAGGAGCCCTTGTAAGGTCCTCATGAATTATGCATGGCATTCTGCGAACCTTCGCCCAGTCCGTGGATGGAGTCCGAACGCGTATGTTTACTGAGAGCGACAAACGGACACGTAAATGCGCGAACAGACAAGCGCACACACAAATATACACACAAAGACCCCTCATAGAGCCTTCACCGACTGGGAGGGCACATGCTGTTCACGAACAGCTTTGAAGGCCGGCGCGGCACACGAGGGGGTGGATGGCCAGCATCACGCCAGGAAGTCTTTGTCTCCCTAGTGGCGATGTTTACACAACACACAAGATACCCATTTGAGGCTGAATGGACCTAGCGGAGGCCCAGAACTGGTTCAGATAATCACCACTGATGTTAGCCGTGAGCGGGAATCAAACCCTCATTTAGGGCTTAATTCAGCTGGGTCTCATAAATTATGTCCACAACCCAACACACCACATCCAGTTGCCCTCCCGTTTGCTATTTCAGTGGCTGCTAACAGTCGTGTGCCGGAGACACGGGAATGTTCCGCGGGAATCTGAGCCGCGGTCTCATCATGGACGTGATGGATGCGCAGCCCGAGCCGCCGCGTGGCCGGGGAAACGGACAGGGCGTGAGGGTTGCGGGGGTCGCGGAGTGGCAGGAGATGCGTCATGCTCGGCGGTTATCCGACTCGTAGGGAGCAGTCTGCGCGCGTTCTGCACTGGGCTGGATACGTGGACGCTTGGCACGGCACCCCATGGGCAACACTTTTAAATGGCTGGATCGATAAAAGCACGCGGGGGGAAACACGTGGCAGCGCCCGCAGGGGCGATCGCTCACGTCGCCACCCCTCAGACAAAGAAGAGCAATGGCTCTGTGCGTCTGAATCAAAGCCTCCCTCCTGAGTGCTGACTTGAATGAGTTGAATGTTGACTGCAGGTGGTATCTCTTGTCTTGACCGAAATGCTCATTTGCCGCGTCCTAAACGCGTTGAATGGACGACGCGAACAGAAGGACGTGTCCGTTGTTATCAGTCCCTGCTGGTTTGGCACAACATCTCTTATTGGCAAGTCATCACCAAGCATCATCTATCCACTGTGGAATTAATGATCTATGGAGACACCTGAACACGAGCCGAATCTCATCGCTCCGTCTCCACAGCGGATGCCCCCCCCAGGCACATCTCCCCCCCCCCTTTCATTGCCACTCCGTCGCCAATCTCCACCATTGGTGACGTGTCCTGTGCAAGCCTTTACTTCACCGGGTTGGGAGACGCACGCTTGGCAGCAAGGGGAACACGTGTATTAGAGAGCATGGGCTTGTTTGAGACACCACGTTCACCGTTACCAAGGGTGAGCTCGGGGTTGCGTGGTGTTCTGTAAAGCACCGCGAGGTCTCGCGTGTGACCGGCACTGCGTAAAAATCGAGCATTGGTTGGTTCCTGAGTGGAGGTTGGCTGGACACGTCGCAGCAAGGGACGATGGGTGGTGGCGGCCGATACCGATGACGGGAGTTGCAGAACGGATCGCGCTCGGCCACGGAGACGGAGCGATGAGACCGGCCCGTGCGTAGAGCAGGTGCCGAGTGGACTGTTAACGAGGACGTAAGAGATGACGACGGCTCGGGGAGGCCTTCATCCAGCAGCGGATTGTTCATGGCAGCTGCTAATGATGATGAAGATAACGAGGGGCAATGACTCACCGTCCCGGGCTCCAGGTCCACGCGCTGCCCTCGGGGTCGGCGCGGCCCGCGAGCTCGCCCCGCAGCAGCGTCGCGCCGCCCTTCACCCCGACCTCGAGCCGCTCGGGGGTCACCGTCACCTCCACGTCACCCTTGGGCGTGTCCTCCGGGAGGTCGAAGGTGACCGTGACGTCCTCGGACGTCTGCTGCCACTGGTACGGGGGGGCTGGGCGAGGGGTGGGGGGGGCGCAAGAGACGCACAGACGTGCAGGCGAACACGGGAGAAGAGGGGCGACGGCCAAGGGGAGACGTCACAAGACTCTCACAGAGAGGTAGAGTAGGCACTCGGTCCAACAGAGCCATCGAGAATATCTCGAATAAAAAAGGCAGCCGACTGCCCCAAACAGCAAGCATCTGGTGCAGGTGTGCGGTTAATCTGAGGCGAGCGACATCCCTCTATCTACAGGCAGGATGAGAGCCCGTTCACATGACAGTGGACACGACGGGTCCCTCGCGGGAGAGAGACGTCGCCCGCGCGGGTCCGTAGCGGCGGCGACGGTCACCGCGGCTTGTCTGCGTCTCATCGCTCATGGAGCCGCCGTGATCACCACCCGCGTTCGAATTCGGAGTCAGCCGCTCGCGACGTAAACCGGGTTTGAGTGCGGCGAGTTGGTAGTCCCAGCCTCGTCACGGGTGACTGCACAAACTGGTCATCATCATAATGGGATGCCATGGTGGTGATATGTTAACTATATTTGCCTAGAATACAGATCTCGACCCTGACGTCTGCTGTATAATTGGAGTTTGCATGTTTCCCCCACCATTGCGTGGATTTTTCTCTGGGTCCACCGGTTTTATCCTCCACATTTAGAATCATGCATTTAAAGAATTTAGCAGCGACATTTCCATGTGATAAGCCACTTTGTTGAGCTATCATTTGTTACATAGCTCAGTGGGCCTCACCTGCAAAAAAAAGTGTTATAGTTGTTAGACAATGGCCCCTGGAAGCGGATATCACAGAGCTACCCCTGAAATCCCTTCAAGCGACCTTCTATCCACACACCATGGGGCTGCACTTTGCAACCCGCTCCGCATACCAAAGGAATGTTTGCTGTATGACAGTTGAACAATCGTGGCGGATCAATCGATGGATCGTTACACGGCCCCTCGGCTCCTTTCTCTTATTTTGGTCCCTGGAAGCTACGAGCGCTGCTGGCTGGCAGCCTGGAGCCTGGGGAGATGGTGCATAGAGCGAGAGCGAGGGGGGTGTGGGGAGAGCACGTGAGGGCGCGTGAGCAAGCGAGCGAGCGAGCAGGGTTAATCGTCCCTTTAGCGAGCGACCCCCTTTTTTCCCGGGATTGACAAAACCCCTTGGGGACGCAGACGCAGCTCAAATCGTGTCGCGGGAGATGAAGGGGAGCGAGAGCAACGGTGAAATGGACCAATGATGCCACCGACACTCCTTCCCCGGCCCTACGCCACCTACGTCACCAGCGATGAACGTGGCGAAGCTGATGACAAACATCGCGCTCGCGTGCACGATGCGATGGAGATTATGAACGCCATCGCGCGGCATACAGCAAACATCGACGGCAGCGGGCGACGCTATCCCACCAAGGGAGGACGTGCGACTGCTCTCCGGAGACGACAGTGCGATGACGCGACGCAGGCAGCGCTCGGGCTCACGTCTCCCCACCGCCGGGGAGTCGTGCGTCGCACTCCACTCCATGGTTTATTTGTCAGCTCGCGCGCCACGCACCACTCCGGGGTCACTTTGTCCTGCGAAGGTTTTTAGTTTTTTTCTCGGTGCGTTGGGCGGTGCCGGGTCACCGGATCCTTGCCTCGCCGGCCCACGCCGTTGCAACCACTTCCCCAACCAGGGCTCGGCGCCCGCAAATTATTTTTCGTTTTTTACAAATTAATTCTTTCCAAATGAGAAAAAAAATGGGAAAGGAGAAAAACTCCATGCCGCTCAACAAAAAACAAATCACGTTTCACAACACGTTTAGAAGCAAAAAATATCACGATCAATCGACTCGCAGCGGGAAGCCGCGGCCCAACAAGGATAAAGGGAGAGTGCGTTGCCACGTTTGGGGGTGGGGGGGAGGCTGGATCGGTTCCCGAGAAGTTCTTGAGAGCGAAACAGAAAATTAATTCAGCCGAGCACGAGGGGCGTATCGACATCTCACGCCGAACGCCACGCCCCCTCCCCGCTGCCCCCTCCCCGCTGCCCCCTCCCCGCTGCCCCCTCGCCGCTGCCCCCTCGCCGCTGCCCCCTCGCCGCTGCCCCCTCGCCGCTGCCCCCTCGCCGCTGCCCCCTCGCCGCTGCCCCCTCGCCGCTGCCCCCTCGCCGCTGCCCCCTCGCCGCTGCCCCCTCGCCGCTGCCCCCTCGCCGCTGCCCCCTCGCCGCTGCCCCCCCGCTGCCCCCTCGCCGCTGCCCCCCTCGCCGCTGCCCCCTCGCCGCTGCCCCCCTCGCCGCTGCCCCCTCGCCGCTGGCCCCAATCGCCTGGCGATCGCGCAGATGTGCAAGACACACACGCCATCCCTGCCAATTTAAGCGGCAGGCTGCTGAAATAAAAACAAATTCTCCCACAGTTTTTTTTACAGAATGCGGGACGCCTGCCTCTGACGCAAAGTGCTCGATGATCGTGGCACCATGCAGCTTACACCGTGTGGGACAGTACGCCGCATGAAATCCGCACCTTTCACGTCGTCCACGCCCAGCTCCTTCTCCTCTTCCTCCTCCTCTTTCTCCTCCTCCTCCTCCTTTACTTCCACCTGCTCCTCCTCCGCGACCGGCCGCGCCGAGTCGCTTGTCACACGGAGGGCCTTGTCAGCCGCGACCACGATGCCGGCACCCCATGGCTCCAGGGCGACGTAGAATGGTGCCGAGGGCCCCGCCAGCTCCCGCCGCCGAGACACCGAGAAGCGCGCCGGCCCCACTACTCCTGCCGGCCCCACCACGTGGATGGGAGAGGAGAGTCACGGTGAGACCCGGGCGGGCGGTAGGCACCACCTAGTGGTGGGGCTAGCGGAGTTTGATTTCTGCTCACGTTCAACACCAGTAACGATTATCTGAATCGGTCTTGGGCCTCCCCTAGATCGACTCGGGCTCAACTGAATACGTAGTGCGATAGGTAAACAGCGTCACTTGGGAGACAAAGGCTGACCGGAGTGGTGCTGGCTACCCACTTCCTCGTGTCCCGTGCCGGCCTTCCTAAGTGCCTGCTAACAGCACTTTCCTAAGAGTTGGTTAAGGCTATACTGGGGATCTTTTGTCTTTGATGCTAGTGATGGTGCCAGCAATAATGTTAGTGATTGGACTAGCAGTTGGGTTTGCAGTTGAGTTCGAGGTAGGGCTAACCAAGGTGTTAGTGATGGGGATAGTGGTGGCGAGAGTAATCACGTCAACTCGTAACGTGTAGCCACACAGGACTGGGCAGTGTTCGCGGCTGGGCTATGGGTAGTGCTGGTGGCTGGGCGAGAGGTGCTACCTTCGTCTGGCTCCAGCGTGAGCCACTCGAGCGCGCTGTGGAAGCCGCTCTTGCTGGAGGGCGCCGGGTCGCGCTCCACGCGCAGCAGCAGCAGCTCCAGCACGGCTCCAGCGGCGCCGGCTCTCTGCAGCCCGTCCACCACGAGCGAGGGTGTGCTCACCGCACCGCTATACACCACCTGCAGCGCACGGCACACGTGCACCACGTTGCTGGCATACGGATCTATGTGAGTAGGTGCGTATACGTTCGACGTAGTGAGTTCTTCCCGTCACTCCTCACCGGCAGCGCAGTGAGATCTCGCCTCGACTACAGGATTGCAATTCCGTCCTCGACCTTCCATCGAGTAACCAAGAAACTGCAACGGTCGCGAAACCATCTCGCTAGGGTTGTACTCAGCATTACCCCCCGCCTCCCTCAGCTCCCTCCACTGTCTCCTCACCATCGCCAGCAAGGCTGGCTATATAAGATCTCCTGCCTCCAGTCTCTCCTCCACTGGCTTCCCACCATCGCCAGCAGCAGGGTCAGCTGTAAGATCTCAGATTGTCTGTGCCACCACCGTGCCTCCGGTCGTCCACCGTGTCTCTCCTCGCTGCTGTCAGCCTGCACTGCAGCTCACAGTGACATCTTCCACAGCAGCAGCAGCAGAACAGCGACTCACAACCTCATCCTCCTCCTCTACACTAAGGACCAGGACCGCCACTACCGGACGTCATTTCTCCGTGGAAGCCACCGCCATCTGGAACACGGCCATCATCACCGTTCCGCTGCTGCTGCAACTATCACAGCAGCAACATGAGCAGAGAAACTTAAAAGCCCCCCCTCCTCTTTCCCCTGGCTTTCAAGTGACACTGCACGTGGCTCCGTGCCTCCGTCACGCTTACTCGTGTCTGTGTAACATGGTGCGTGTTACAAATTGCGCGAGTATCCTAGCATCGTTACCGCAGGCGGGACGATGCACCGCAGCGTTGCGAAAGAGGCGATCGGCACAATCAGATCGCCGAACGCGCGCCGCCGCCCGCTCGCCCGCCCACCCGCACGCGCCCTTCCCGGTGGCGGCCCGGCACGCCTGAGCGCGTGGTTTCACTTTTCATGTTCGGGGGGAATAATAAATAATAAATGGCGCGATTAGCGGCGGATCCACACGGTGCGCGCCCTAATCGAGTTAACACAGTCTCCCCCCGGGCGGCACGAGACAAAGCGCGGAGTCTCCGTGCCCCCCACCGCCTCCCCGTACCCCCCCCACCGCCCCCCCACCGCCCCCCCGTCCTCCCCCCGCCCCCCCACCCAACGGTACTGATTATCGAGCGGTGGCTGTGACGGCGCGTCGGTAATTAAACACGAGCCCCTGCGGACAGCGCCGCTAATTGCTCTGCTGCCGCCACTGCGACTGCGCTCGCACACGCACTCGCGCATTCATGCACTCGTGCACACAGTGACGCACGCACTCATTCACTCACTCACTCATTCACTAACTCACACACTCATTCATTCACTCAGTCTCACGCACGCACTCACTCCATTAAATATGCACGCAGTAACTCACCCGGTGCAACCTATGGCATCACACTGATGTATGGGCATCCCTCGACATACAGAACAGATACATTGCTGAAAAGTTCTGTAAAGCGGCATTCTGCAGATCGAACCCTGTTTCTCTATTGACTTCCATTACAGAATTGAAGATGCATTCCCATGGAAAGAATTTCGGACCAAAGACGAAAATGAAATCACGCTTAGGAATTCCACAAATTTTTGTTAATAAAAAATACCCTACAGTACTTAACCATCGTTAATTTTCTCCTCTAAATATTTTACAATTCAGAGACTGAACATCCCGTGAACGCGGATTTAACGTGACGTACATCAAATTTGCTCCCTCATGTGCAGGCGTCGGCAACCAAAATAAGAGCCATTTTTTCGAATTCTGTAAATAAAACTCAGTATTTCAAGAGCCGCAATGCGTACGGTGATTATGAGATGGTGGTTCTTATTAAATAACATGACCAAAGCGGTCCTTAAAGAGCCGCACGCAGCCCCGGACCCACAGGTTGCTGACCCCTGCTCAAGTCACGTTGCAGCGATATAGCCGGCAGTACTGCCCAGTCAACGACAACGAGCGTGGGAGTGACCGGTGGAGAGGCGAGTCTACACCCAGGGGTAAGGAACCTTCCTCCAGAACCGCATCCCACTTTCAAATCTCTTCAGCAAGTCATCGCACGTCAACACACACGTAATGTCCGCCACTCCTGTCACGCTCGCACTCGCTGCCGCTCCAGCAGTAAGCTGCAAATATCTCGGACCAACAGACTCCGAGACAGCTTCTACCACCAGGCCACCAGACTGTTGAAAAGCCATCACTGGCTGTATGTCTGCCCTGTCCTCTTCACCCACACTCACACAAAAAACACACACACAAGCGCACACACACACACGCACACACGCAGTCTCTCGCATAAAAAAACAGAGCTCCCGTATAGCCTTAACTGACTTTAAGAGCAAGTGCTGTTAGCGAGCACCTATAAAGTCCGGCACGGCACACGAGGGGGTGGGTGGCCAACACCACGCCCGGCCGCATTTGTCTCCCTAGCGGCGATATTTACACACCGCGCCAGGTACTTATTTGAGGCTGAGTCGACCTAGGGGAGGCCCAAGACCGGTTCAGATAATCGTTTCTGGTGTTGGCCGTGAGCGGGAATTGAACCCGGGTCACCAGTTCGTAGCGCAGAGCGCTAACCGCTCCACTACACACACACATACACCCTTACTCACGCACACACATACAGACATACACAGTCAACACTGCTGTCCTATGTATAAAGAGACATTGATCACTGGACGCTTCCAATTTATAGTGTTTAGACACACTGTATTTACATACCATACACTCGACAAAGCTCACTCTAATATATCTATTGTTGTACATATCATTGATAGTATATGTTTGTGTTCATTCATCCCATGCATATATGCACAGATTGCTATTTTGATGATTGTTCGACGGGCAGGTGTGGCTCAACTGTGGGCGCAATGCGTGTCAGCCACGTGCGCTCCATCCGTCGACAGCAGTAAGATAGGCCTGTAACTTGAGGCCTGATCTTCTGGCTATCCAGGTTTCACAGCAGGGCCGTGACCTTTGCTCCCTTCCAGGCTCTGTGGATTGTGCCACCGAAATGGACGGTGGTAAACAAGGCCGCGTGCCAGTCTTGGCCGACAGGTCCCAAGTCCTTAAGAATTCTGGGATAGATGTTGTCATCGCCCTGTTTTTTTTGGCTTTGGTGGCCAGAAGAGCGTCAGCAATCTCTTCCCTTGAGTATGGACGGGAGATCGTGGAGCTTGTCGGTAGGCTCCTTAAGGTTGCAGTGAGATGTTTGCGCACGTCTTGTTTGTGTTGCTTTTTCATTGCGGCTTTTGTGCAGGTGAGGAGGCGAGAGGCGATTTGGTTGGCAGTGACTTGCGCACTTTTTTTTTTATAGGTGGTACGTTGGCGCCAAGATGGTAAAGAAGATTCCACGCTTTGCGGCCGGAGTGTGCAAAGTTAATCTCCAAATGTTTTTCGCCAACGCTGTTGTCTGGCCGAATTTAGAACCTCTAATAGTGCTGATGCCTTTGTCTCGTCACGAGTTCTTTTGAACGCTTTCAGGAGTTCACCGCTCTGCAGATTCCAGCATGAAGTGTATCGCTTTCCGTGGCCTCTAGGGATATTGTTGGTGGCCGCTTCGATGATGGCGTTGGCAAAACTGTTGTAGCTATGCGGCACCGGGTCAATGGTTTGCAGCGCGATTTCTGTTTTGCCCTGGAAGGACGACCAGTCTGCCTTCCGGAAGTTCCAGCGAGCAAATGGTTTGGGTGTGATCATCGTAATTTAGAGTCCAATGTGGACGATTGCTGGTCGGTGTTGGCTTCTGGGGAATGGTCCTCGGATTTTCCTTGTCGCGGAGGGTGGGAGACCATGGTGGTCTTTGGACACAAAGCAGAGATCTGGATTGTGCTCCCCCATCGAGCAGAGTGGAGACTCCCTCTGTTTAGGGTCGAAAATCACAAACATCATTTATGGACGACCAGTCAGTCAGTTGATCTCCTGCTTCATCATTTGTGGAATAGCCCCATTGTGTGTGGTGGCTATTAAGGTCACCCACATATACCGATGGATGTGCTGTAATAGGGATCATTGGAGTTGGCCAGGGATTCTTCGGCGGTTTATCCACAGTGGTCATGGACACATGACCTATTCTGATGGTAATGGTTCATGTTTCATTGGTCGTGACTTCTTGTCACCCCGTAGTGTGATGTAAGTGGCGAGGCCGTATTTCGGATGGTTAATGGTGGAATTATGTCATATCTGCTGATTTTATAATTCACAAGTCGTTTATCTTCAGCGTGGGTTTCCTGGAGTGCTACAACGTCAATGTGTTCTTGATGTAAACACTTGGCGAGCACCTCACACTTTGCTCGTGAGAGGCCTTCCACGTTAAGTTCGTCACTCGTAATGTTGGTCCCACTCTTCTTTGACTGATAATTTTGGCCCTTAAAAGGACCGTTATTTTGGATGCGATTTACACATTTGAAATCGAAAATACGCGATATCCAAAAATGACGAAGTAACGGTATTAGTTGTACAATGAGGCACTTAATAGGTGGGCCGCGAGAATGCTACCATCTGTTAGGACAAGTGCTGTAAGGGAGAACCTATGAAGGCCGGCATGGCACACGAGGGGGTGGGTGGCCAGCACCACGCTTGGCCGCCCGTGTCTCCCGAGTGGCGATGTTTGTTACACACCACGCCAAGTACTCAATCAAGGTGGAGTCGACCACTTACCATACACGTGCGCGCACGCACGCATACTTAGCTCGCAGCACGAGTGGCTTGCGGTAGCGCTCACCTCCCACGCAGCGTCGGTCTCCACGGCGCGAGCACCCGTGTGCAGCACGAGCAGCGTCCCTGCGCCGTCGCACAGTGCCGCCCGCTCCTCCGACAGGAAGTGCATGGACGTGCTGACGCGCCCGGGGCTCCCCGCCACCTCCCGCGCCAGCCGGAACACGGGCACCGGCGTTCCCAGGTACGTGTCCTGGCGGGCGACAGAGCCAGCGAAGCACGGATAGATTCAAGCTGGTACCTATTATCTAAACACGGCTGGTCGCGTTTAACCAACTGCGAATCATAGCGAATCACTAAACATGACTAATCATAATTAACTCAACAAGACTTGCCACAGTTAACTAAAAATAACTCGCATATAACCAACTGCGTCGCAATTAACGAAACACGACTCATCGCCTGTCACGCACCAGCGCAACGCGCACGCGCTGCACGCGCCCGGCACGGTCCACGTAGTAGACCGATGTCGCGTCCCAGGGGTCGGCGACCAGGTGGTTGCGCATGCCGTAGACGCGCACGTGGTCGCGTGTGTACAGGTCCTCCGACAGCTCCACCTCGTCCACACCTGCGCACACACGGCGATGACGGCAGGTCAGCCATCTCCTCATCCTCCCCCCTCTCTCCAAAATCCAGTTGTGCTGCGGATGGCAGAGGGACACGGTAGCAGTGAACACTGATGGTCATACTGTACTGAAGATCCCTAATGAGGACGGAGCCGGACTAACGTTGTGTCCGTTGCACCGCCGCTTGTTGTTGGGATGTGGCCACATTTTCTCAACTCATTGAGCCGGTGATTTTAAACCACAACATGACCACACGTTCAGTTCTTGCGAGCCAGTGGTCTGGACAAGGCATGTCCACGCAATGCTGCGCACACCGGTGTGTCATTAAATATGATGGCATTGTGTTGTCAAAAGACGAAGAAATGTTGTTTGAGAGTCTCGCAGTGAGCAGTGTACCACCACGTGCCGAAGAATCAGTCCTGGAATTTGACATCCCAGAACTTGTAAAATACAGTGCTAATTCAGGGGTGGGATGCCCTGGCATGCCCGTCTTAATTACAAATACCCTGCGACTTCCGTAAAGTTATTGATGTTTTGCTTTTAGAATATTAAATAATAATATCAATACAAAGGAAGGTTTGAATAATCGGCCACCAAAATCACTGCGAATTGCAAGCAGAGTCTGGAACGTGCAGCCCAACGCCGCGGTGGTTACCGCCACAGTGCGGCACGAGACTGGGAGTGCGGTGTGCAGATGACACCAGCAGCGTCGCCTTGCGCTGCTGCTCAATTTTCGAGCTTTGGGAGTGGAGTTTTCAATTATTTCCACTTGTCAAATCTACAGGTCTCCATTGGTGACCATCCTGAAACCATCGACTCCCCACACTTGAGAGCCCAGATGTTACATAGTGGGCAGCTGTGAAAATTGAGACGCTGCATTTCAGCTTTGCCGGCTTGGCACTCTGGCCACTGGGCCACTTGGAAACCCCAATGGACAGAGTATGGCTGGCGATGGCGATGCCACGGCTCTGTCACACGGGTTACCGAGACGCAAGCCGTGGGTGCAGAACCTCATACCGGCGATGCCTCGCACACCTCATCACTGCCCCCCCCTGCCGCTCCCCCCCCACTAGGGAGCTTTAAAGCTTAGCTAATTCTCAGCAGCATGAGGGCCGCGTTACATATTCATGCGTGCAATGTTTATTCAAGCGGGATCGCAGCTCTTTTGATTGGAGACAAATCTGCCATTCGAGAGGCTTTTCAAATTACATTTAAAGAACGCTGCCGCGTGCAGATAAAAACAAATCGCAGATTTAGCGACAAAGCAACCGCCCCCACCCCGTCCCCTGCCCCCTTCCATGCTGCCACCGCTGACCGGACAGCCGCACCAGAAACCACGGATGGTGCAGTCGCGGTGGTGCTGGTAGCACAGCGACACGCAGCCAGCCGAGGTGGCAGGTCAGAGATGCCGAGTCGGCACCGCTGAGTTTCTGGGTTCAGCTCCAGGTTCCAAGTTCTCAAGTGCAGTGAAGTCGATGGTCTCAGCCTGATCACCATTGACTAACATAGCCACCCGTAAACCAACATAAAGGTGCACAGACTCGCAAAGAGACCTGCAGACTCATGTAGGATCTGTGGCACCGAGAGGTGGAGTCTAACTCACCCGCGCGAGCTGTGCACCCGTCTCTTTTCCTTTGACTGAGGGGCAAGAGATGAAAAGTGACAAATCGGTTGAGTGGCACGGTGTGCGTGCGTGCACCAGCCTTGGTGCGATACCATCGATCGTCACGACTCAGTAGCCACCATTCTGCGGTACTCCAAACTTTAATTTCATTTTTACTGTATCATGTTTTATTTTATTTTTTTTTGCCTTCTGTCTCGTACAAACTGTGTCTGCTCCAGCAGCTTTCACGCGTGAAAAGAGCGCTCGATTTTAATCGAAGGCAGTCCGCGATATTCCGGATGTACGTTTCAGACATGTCAACGATGTGGACAACTGTGCGTTTAACTATAACAGTGGCTTCTTTACCGTGGAGTAGCACGTCAACCGATTTAGCACCGTAATCCGCAAAAGGGAAAACGCTCGTAATATTCCACCGTGACACTTTAAATAAATAAATGCAGTGATTTATAACGTGCACAATATTTCACAAACACATATATATGTATGTGACCATGATTCTGAAGCGGACAGCCTGGCTCAATGCCCATAAAAATCCAGACAAATGAGGCGGGGGGCCTTTAAGCATCTCTTAGAAGTCAGTGCAGACCGAACGTTGCTGCTGCTGCGAATGTGCAGCGACAGTGGGATGATGATGACCACATTCCACACGGCGGGGGCCGCCACGGAGAAACAACGCCCCACAGTGACCACGGTCCTTGGTGTAGAGAGGAGGAAGTGTTGAATCACGTTGCGAGTCGCGTCGCTCCGGAGAGTTCTACCTTGAGATTTGTCATCCTACGATTGGTGGTGATGGTGCATTCAGATGCATGTGTGTGTCAAACCTTATACTTATTTCGTAAGTAGGGAATGGTGGCATAGTGGTTAGCGTGCTGTTGTACGAACCCGGTGAACCCAGTTCGATTTCCATTCATGGCCAACGCCGCACATCCACGCCGCGATGGTGCTGGAAGAAGAACTGAGCAGAGGATGGCGACGGTGAGAGAGTGTGGTGTGTACGAGTGTGTACGTGTGTGTCCGTGTGTGTAAGTGTGCGAGTGCATGCGTGTGTGCGAGTGCACTGCGCTACGAACGCGGCGACCCGAGTTCAATTCCCGCTCGTGGACACTAACAGTGGCGAATATTTGAACCAGTCCTGGGCCTCCATTAGGTCGACTCAGCCTGAAATGAGTACTTTTTGTGATTTTTAAACATCACCAATGGGGAGAGAAAGGTGGCTGAACATGGTGCTGGCCACCCACCCCCGTGCCGGCCTTAACAGGTGATCGCTAACAGCACTTGCCCCAACAGTTTGTTAAGGTTATACGGGGGATTTTTGCCTTTGTGTTATTTTAATTGACTGCGAGGCTGCCTAATGTACGTAAAAATAATCCCTGCTCACACACAGGATATGCAAAGTGGTTTATATATATGTTTATATATATGCTGAGCATGGGAATCAATATGAATCTATGAATTGATGCATCATAGCACACCACACAACAACAACAGCAGCTGCCATGCCCAACGAGGTGACGCTGACATCGCCACCAACGCTGCGGCGAGCTGCACCCGTTGAAGTGCGGAGGATGGATGCCAGCAAGAGGTCACGGCACAGACACAAGGAGTTATGGGTTCACCGACTGCAATGACTGGTGGATATACCGCCTATGGTGCCAGCTGTGGCAAGCAGTTGGACTCCTTCACGCGTCACACATGCACACAAAACTTATTTGAGCCTCTGTGCCACATTTAAAAAATAATGCCCACACAATGTAACTGGTATTGGCCAAACGCGCTAATGCTGAAAAATTACCTACAAATTTACTCAATTGGGATTAAACACGGCAACATTGCTCCCTACTGCTTCAACATTGGCAGGGCCCTCCTGAAAAAATTGTCCTGAGACTCAGTGAAACCTTCCTGGGTAAACAAGCTGAATTATAATTAATAATGATTGGGGGTTGCCAAACAATTCTGCCAAATCACTGGGCCACTGTGGTGAAGAGAGCTCAAGTGCCACGTGCCCGTCTGGGGCTGGATCCGAGCCACGTGCCCCCTCGCCCGTCCCTCTATCTGCCGAGTAAATTAAAACCGACCACCGGTGCTCTCCAATTTAATATTGGCGAAGATTCTTAATCGTTTAACATAGCTGCGTGCAGTGGTGCCACTGCCGCCGCTGCTGCTATGGTAACGGCTCGAGTTGGAGGCAGAGTGAGATGCGGGCACAAGATTGCACGGAGCGAGGCAGAGCTGCTTGCGCCCGCTTCGTTGCTATAGCCACAAAATAAGCGCGTATATAATACTGATGATAATAATGTGCATTTACCCACGGAAGACTCCCCGAGTCCAACGACTGTTTTACTGCAGGGTCCTGCTACAATGCGGTTTTTGGCTAATTTTCGAAATTGACATTTGCTTTCGTGTGAGAGGAAGCCAGAGAATCAAGAGAGAAGCCAGGACGCTGTGTACGAGGGGGCGACCATCAGCACTGCCATCTCCTCGCCACACCTCGCAGCTCCACGCCTACAACACCAGCCAAGTCCTGCCAGTGTAACCCATTCAAGTCAGAAGATATTCGCTCCAATTCAAATATTAATTGTAACATTGCAAACATATGAACGTCTGCAGAAACTCAGAGTCTTTCGAGTGAAGGGAAACAATTAAACTATATCCAACCAATCATCATCACTTAATATTGATAACACGCTTCCCCCCATGAGGTGCTATGCTCGGGTTGCACGGACGATGATCTACAAAAGCCCCCTCTGTGACTCGGCTGCCACCTGGTGGCCTCAGCACGTGCCACGTGCTTCTGGTGGTTCCAACATTAACACATTGAACTAGATTCGAAGCTTTCGTGACTGCAGGAATTACTCTTTGGTTCTTTCGGTAAAGTCAAGTAGAAAATAAAATCAAATAATAATAGAATACGACGTTTCTGTTGCAACACAATGATGAACACAGACACGGGAACAACACAGGCAGACACGTGCAGAGAGAGGCACACACAAAGACACACCGAGCGAGACACACCAAGACGAACAGAAAGACGACTCTGTGCCGAGACCTTAAGTAGAGAGAGGATGGGGAGGCGAACAAAACGAGGGGCGCAGCAGACAGACGAGGGGACAAGGAGCAGCGTGGAATTCCGGACCACAGTGGCCGGAGGAGAGACAGTGGTTTAGAGCAGGCATGTCCAAAGTCCGGCCCGCGGGCCAATCACGGGCCGCGGTCAGATTTCATACGGCCCACAGCTTCGGTCTTATAAATCATAAAACTTTAAAGATGTAATTCCTCCTTTCACCACACGGTGGCAGCACCATTATAATTCTATCCGGCTCTGTATCCGTGCCGCAAACCCTTCCCGAGTCATTTCTGCCATGGCGACTGCAAAAAAAGAAATGCGGTCATTCGCTAAGAAAATACTGAGCTTATTCGGCTCCACATATTTGTGTGAGCAAACATTCTCAGTCATGAACTTAAACAAGAACCGATTGAGGTCAAGGATGAGTGACTCCCACTTGCGTGGCATTTTACGCATCTCAACCACTGTCCTCAAGCCAGACCTGGTCTCTTTACTGAAATCTAGATCTCAGTATCACCCTTCTCATTAGTGTCAGCAAGTTATCTGTTCCTTGATCAATCTGAAATTGAGTGTTTTGAACGGTAACATCTGTCACTATTAACAGTGAAAAGCCTAAAGCACACTAATGCACTTGGACTTATGGCACTTGTTTTATTAAACTATTGAATAAGATTTGGTTATAACTGTTGGTGTTATGTACCTGTAGATGTGACACAAACTATTGCTTTCTGAAAGATGTTGTAAAAGACAAGGGCAAAATTCACTTGATTTAAAGTTTAATGATAACAGACCACTTTGCATTATGTATAACTCCTGTTTGAAATGTTCATGAGGCAAAGATATTTAACTCATGGAAATTTAAGGTATTCTATACAGTTTGTTCAATGTTATCTGACTGAATGAAAGGCAGAATTGTGTTTTTAGAGTTGTTCACGTCTGCTCGAGTGGCTTATATTTGCTTACATTGTCAATTGAAAAATAAAGGTAATTGTGACAATGAAAATTGTTTTATAAGTGTGTATTTCCACGTAACTTTTGTGGTTAAAAAATATCAAAAGGAACTATTGGCCCCCGGGCATCTTCACTTTATCAAATGTGGCCCTCTTTGCAAAAGGTTTGGACACCCCTGGTTTAGAGCAAGACATCGAAATTTTGAGAAAGCAAATTTAGTAAAATTAAGAAGTGTAATGCAATGCACAGAGTCGTTGCCCTCCTGTTTGTCTTGGTGCGTGTCTCTCTCTGCACGTGTGTCTGCCTATGTTGTTTCCGTGTCTGTGTTCATCATTCATTCTTACCTGATGATGGTTGCTTGTGTTGCAACAGAAACGTCGTATTCTATTACTATTTGATTTGATTTTGTACGTGACTTTACCGAAATAACCAAAGAGATTAATACATTAAGCAGACAACACACTTACTTCTTCCCATTACATCTCCCTACATAAAACATTTTTTTTTATTACACCCCATCAGCCACACACGGCCATCTGGGAGTGCATAATTTCAGGAGCATTGATTTAGTACAAGCAAACTCTGGACGGGTTTTCAATATATGCAGCGTCTCTATCAGAATCTGGCTTGTTTAAACGACAGCTGGTGAACTGCCAGAGATGTGTGTTAGCAAGTGTCCTCTGTGAGATATCGGTCCTAGTTCAATGCAAAACTATCTAAATGTACATTTACAAAACATCTAACAGAGAGGTTTCCTTGCCTTTGAAAAGCTGGCAGTTCCCGAGCACTATATGTTTATCTTGGTTGTTTCGGGTCGATATACCAGGTCCCGCATACAACGAGGTTTTGATGGGAGCTCTAAATATTGAAAGCCATACAAATAACCCCAAAATACACCAGGCGGGTGGGAGCGTGGCACATTTATCAAATGTGACAGGGGTGAGTCCACGTGGCCTACCGAGCGAATCCCCCGGGACAGAAGCTAAGCAGGTAGCGCCTGGATTAAGGTGCTTGCCTTGGCTACCGCCACGTACCAGGGGCTGTTATAGACTGCGGGGCGATATCTTGGGCAGCACAGGGCAGTGCAGCGAAGTTGCATTGTTGTTGTTACTTCACCACCTCACTGGGCAGCGCGGTGGTGAAGTCATCATGGCTTGGCTTCGCGAACGAAGATCTAGGAAGGACATCCACGTCTTCTGCAGGCACGCTGGTGGCTGAAGAGGCCTATGCGGGACAAGCAGGTCCTGCCACAACAGCTGCAAGTATAGGTCTCATCTGGGATGGGTGCTGAAGTATGGTCAAACGAACTCCACGACACGCACAACAGCGGGGGGGCAGCGACCTCATCCAGCAGTGGGTTGACAAAGGAGCTGGACACACACGGGCATTTGAACAGAGGTTCACTCGTAGTCCCATCGTAGTTGTGTGTTGGCGTGAGAGGGGTGAGAGGGTAAGAGAATATGGAGTGAGAGCGTGAGGGCGAGAGAGCGAGAGGGTGAGAACGTGAGAGAGTGAGAGAGATGGTGAGAGGGTCGAGAGAGAGTGAGAGAGAGTGAGAGGGTTAGTGAGTGAGAGAGAGAGAGAGTGAGATGTACCATTGCTCAAGTGCAACTCGCAATGCCCGCGACTTGGCGCTGTGCCCATCTCACAGGGTCCACCTGCTCGGTCCCCAGAGCAGCGGAATTGATCATCAGCTCAGCGAGCGACTCGGTTACCTTCTTGCAGCTGCACGCTGTAGGTGGGGATGGGGTCCAGGGAGAGTCGGTAGCTCTCAAAGTTGGGGTCCAACAGGGCCCGGTTCACGGTGAGCGAGACGTTGACCGCCATGGTTGGCGAGCCGCTAGTCCGTCTCTCGGTGCGGTTGACTAAAGCTCGAATCGCTCTCCCGCTAATTTCTGGCGAGCTGCGATCGCGGCGAGGGTGGGACGCGTGGAGCCCCGCACACTCACACGGACGACTCACAGCACGGAGGGGGCGCCATATTGGGTAGGGGGGGGGGAGCTCGCGGTGTCGTCACGGACCTCCACCCCTTAGTAAGATGGCGATTTTGCGCGAAGTTTGCCGGTGCCGCCATCTTATTCAGGGAGTTCACCGCTGAAAAGCGTGAGGATTGCTATAATCGCCATCTTACTAAGGGGGTACCACGCCCTTAGATGCATGAAGATTGCCGTGACCGCCATCTTAATAAGGAGTTTCCACGCCCTTAGATGCATGACGATTTCCGTGACCGCCATCTTACTAAGGGGGTTCCAACCCTTAGATGCATGACGTTTGCCGTGACCGCCATCTTACTAAGGGGGTTTCACCGCCAGCAAGATGCATGAAGTTTGCCGTGACCGCCATCTTACTAAGGGGGTTTCACCCCCAGCTAGATGCATGAAGTTTGCCGTGACCGCCATCTTACTAAGGGGGTTTCACCCCCAGCAAGATGCATGACGTTTGCCGTGACCGCCATCTTACTAAGGGGGTTTCACCGCCAGCAAGATGCATGAAGTTTGCCGTGACCGCCATCTTACTAAGGGGGTTTCACCCCCAGCTAGATGCATGAAGTTTGCCGTGACCGCCATCTTACTAAGGGGGTTTCACCGCCAGCAAGATGCATGAAGTTTGCCGTGACCGCCATCTTACTAAGGGGGTTTCACCCCCAGCTAGATGCATGAAGTTTGCCGTGACCGCCATCTTACTAAGGGGGTTTCACCCCCAGCTAGATGCATGACGTTTGCCGTGACCGCCATCTTACTAAGGGGGTTCCACCCCCAGCTAGATGCATGAAGCTTCCCGTGACCGCCATCTTACTAAGGGGGTTCCACCCCCAGCTAGATGTATGAAGCTTCCCGTGACCGCCATCTTACTAAGGGGGTTCCACCCCCAGCTAGATGCATGAAGCTTCCCGTGACCGCCATCTTACTAAGGGCGGTGGGAGGAGGAGTTGGGGGGTAACCCCGGCGCGCGCGCGCGAGGCGCCCCAGTCGGGGCCGGGTGGCTCGGCCCAGCAGGGCGACATGGTGGGGACGCGGCGGGGGCGACTCTGGCCGCGGGAGTTCGCGGTGGTGGCAGTGGCGGTGTTCGTGGTCGTCGTGTCTCTCACGGTGCGGGCGCAGGCGGAGCCGTGGCGATCGGGGCCCCGCACGGGGTGAGTGAACGCAAGCCGGGCCCCCCCCCCACCACCACCCCCCGTGTTACTTTCATTTACCAGTTTGTGGAGCACGCACACGGGCGTTAAGAGGCCAGCAACAAACAGCACTATCAGAACTGTACTCTTTGGTTCTTTCGATAAAGTCACGTCGGTATATAATAAATCACGACGTGTCGGGCGCATTCACACGCGTCCGTCATCAGGTGGGAAAGGGCGCTCGTGTTGCGCCCGAAACGTCGTGATTTAGTTTATCTTATACCGACGTAACTTTACCGAATGAACCACAGAGTGTGGATTCCTGCACTCACGAAAGCTTCAAATCAAGACGGCACCATGGGAGCCGTGACAGGCACGAGTTGTCAACGCGCGTCTTGGTCTGTGCGGGTTGCTCATTGAGAGGTGGAGTGGAAGAGACGAGGGGGGGGGGTCCTTGCTGGGTGGCATTTGCCTGAACGTGGAGGGAACGTGGAGTGAACGTCCTGACCAAGACGTGGACCCAGGCCCGTGACTTGTGACGCGCCGACTCCGCGTCTGTGTCGCGTTGCTGGTGGCCCGTGAGGAGCGGTGGGCGCAGTGGTTAGCGTAGTGCGCTAAGCAGTGCTGTACTATGTACAGTACGTACTATATACAGTACTGTATACAGTACGTACTATGCACAGAGTACACCGATGGGAGTGAGTGGGGTCCACCGAGACCGGAGCGGTGTCCGAACGGGTTGGTGGTTGCGAGCTGCCTCTCCACACACGAACTGCAGCCACCGTCAAGTCTGCTTTGAAGAAGGGCCATTGTCCGAAACGTCGTCTTCCTAAGTACGTGTCCCCCCCCCTCCCCACCAAACTTCCCTTGAGGGCAGTGTTGTTGACACATCCATTGAGTTTGTGTTACTTGCGCTCATGCACCAACGCGAAAGATCTCCCCGATGTACCCTGAACGGAGGGCCCACACGGGCCCACGATGGTGGTGGGTGGCCGAGCACCTTGCACACAGCGTTGTAATAAGGTGTTTTTTTTATTCTGGAAGATTTGCTGGTTTATCCAGGAAGTTTTTGTTGCGCGTCGCCGCTTTAAGACGTTCCCTGTTCATATTTAGTCTGTTGCGGTTGCACCCGACTCAAGAGCCGCATGGCTCACAGGGCTACATAATCTTACTGAGGTTTTTTCGGTAAAGTCACGTAGGTAGAAATAAATAATAAACATAATAGAAATAATAATAGAAATAAAATAATAAATAACGACGTTTCGGAGGCAACACAAGACGCCGTCATCAGGTGGGACCGTCACAGCTAAATTTACTGTATCAAGTGAGGCAAAAATCCATGAGACAAGCTCTTAAATACAAGTCAAGGGGGAGGGGCTTATCTGAATGTGGTAGCCAATGAATGGAAAGTGTTGGGGGGGTGGGCGGGGCTATAAGAGAACCATGGTGCACCGGGCTGCAGCTAATACATGAAACTTGAACCCCGCCAGGACGGGGTCACACATTCCCCGCTGGTCGATGGCCGCGGGCGGGAATCCAACTCGGGTGGCCGGGTTTGGAGCGCAGCGCGCTAACCACTCCCGAAACCGGAATGCCTTCATCCAGCAGTGGAATTTACAAACAAAAAGGGTGGGGGGTGGGGGGCGATGCAGTATATCCACACAAGTGTGCATCTTGTATAATGCGCTCGTGATTGTGGTGTGTATTTGTGTAGTGTTACGTCGAATTAGAGGGGCGTCCTGAGCTGTCAGCAAACATCTGGCAGTTCAATATTGGTTAAAGCATGGATCTGCTGAATGTCGAAATCGGTCCAGAGCTTGTGTTGAACCAGTTCTGCTGGTATTGTGCATTCCCAGAAGGGCGTGTTACTTTTAAAAAAAAAATTATGTTGAGGTACAGATATGTGGAGGCGGATTATCCCGTTATTTTATAACTTACATTCTCCACAGCGACGCTAAATGGCCGTTTTGTGTTGTACAATCGCATAACTGGAGCAACTGTTGCTGCCGATGTCGCTAATTATACGGCAGTGGTGGTTACCGGAGTCTCGTGGATAATCACGAGACCACGCCAGGCCAGGTCGACTTCCCCCCCCCCCACCGCACAGTCTGGGACTGCAACGTGGCAGCAGCGTTCCTTCCCAGGGCCACTCCCCACTGAGGTGGCGTCACCTCACCTGTGTGTGTGTGTGTTCACCGGGGGTCATGCACACTGTGCGTGACCCCACATTCAAAAGTCGAGGGAGCAACAGCCTACAATACGTGCACAGAAACACAGGGAGCTGCATGTGTACCACCTTGGGAAGTTGCCGACGCGAGCGAAGTATACGAGGAGGCGAGCTCCTGTCAGTCGCGATAGCACCTAGCCTGGCACCGAGAGTGCTGGCTGAACATTATTCTTCCCGGGTCCCAGCAGGCGCCTGGAGATCGGCACCAGCTAATCAGAAGCCGATTTCGGTCCACCAATCGGCCCGCTTCGATTTTTTTCGCGTAATGCTGCTCGACTCTGATCGATTATTAACGTTTCTTGTGCGCGTTTTCACCGTAATTGATGTATCGCTAAGGAGAGTGAACTTGGTGGGCCAAAGGGACATTTGGTAGTGCAGGGCCCACTCCAGCACCCCCCTTGTGGGAGCCAGATTGTTGCTTTGCGAGACTTTGAGAGATGGCAACGGATGGGGGCAGGAGGGGGTGCCTTCATCCGGCAGTAGATAGTTCTTGGCTCATGATGATGATGGAAAAGACCGAATAAAGTCTCGTATGATTCCATACCATGACCCTTCATGACTCCGGTCTCCCCCGTGCCTCCTCAGGCCGTCCCTCGATGACGATCTACTGCTGCCCTACCCGGCGGGCTCCCCGCACGGGGCCCGCGTGCCGCTGCGCGTGGTGCGGCAATGTCAACCGGAGACCTATGGCAACGTCACCCACGAGGCGTGGCCTGCTCACCGGCCCGGCGCGGCCCACGGTCACGGTGTTATCACGCACCAGTTCGTCTCCGACATCAAAACTAGCGACGGCGCTAAGAAGGTAGTCGTGGTAGTAGTCTTCTTCATCATGTTCTTTCTTGTGGCACTTGATAAGCAAGCAGTGTTGAGCTTGGAGAAAAAATATCTGGAGTCTCCAGATGGAATCCATTTGCACCTCCCCGGCATTGATCTGTAATCTGAATGATGTTTCCCACGCAGTTTACCGCCCCTCTGCGCAGTTCGTGTACGGCCACTGGACGGTGGTGGAGGATCCGGCGCGGACCCTGTCGGTGCTGGAGCCGGGAGGAGAGGGCGGGTGCTCAGATTATCGGCGCGAGACGGTGGCGGAGACGGCAGGGACGCGTCGCTGCCTCGTCTCTGCCAACGCAGGCTTCTTCCGCCCGTACACGGGGCGCTGCCTCGGCAACATCGTGAGCGACGGGCACTCCGTGCTCGGTGCCAACGGAGTGAGGAACGCAAATTTCGGCATACGCCGGGACGGCACCATCGTCACCGGGTGAGCATGGCCGCGAGGTTAGGGCTAGCTGCTCATGTCGAGATCAGCGTAGAGCTGCGACTATAGACAGTTGGAATACAAATACAGTTCAGTTTTGATTTGCATAGCGCCTAATGCGACTTCTGATATATGAGCCACCTGGCTATCGCCCGTCACATCTTCTGTCAACGTTTATAATTCTTTTTCATGTAATGGACAATGCTAAGATTGTGCGTGTGTGTTAATGTGTGGTTGTTTGCCAAAGGTAATTGATAGTCCTGTCCGGCGCTCGGTAAGGAAAAGAGTTCTCAACTCCTGCATCATAACAAATGCTCGCTCCACGGTTCTGGTACTAACCCAAGGAATTTTTCTCTCTGAGTGTTGGCTTTTAAGTGTCTGAGGGACTTCGCACATTGTTTTTTTGCAGCAGCAATAGAAGTGCGATGTCTTGGGTTAGGCCCTGTGTGGAGCATCCTTCTCTACAGCTTTTTCTACTCACTACCTTATGGATCTTCACCTTCAGATGCCCACGATCTGGATGATTTGGTCCTAGGCTAAGCATTCAATGTCCGTCTGTCCTCATACAACAGTCCCCTGCATCTTCAGACGCCTGCAATAGCGCATGGCAAAAGTTTTCGAGAGTAAATTCTCAGCATGCGGTCTGAGCCGGAAGTCCACACTTGAACTCCGCTTGGGGTATGGTGGTATCTTGCAGGTACCTGTCGGACGACGAGGAAGAGGAGGAACAGGATGGTGCGGAGCAGAGCCCCTGGCTGCAGCTAGTGTCCGGCGTGGTGTGGCTGTTGCGTAACGGCTCCATCTACATCAACGAGAGCCGTGCCGTCGAGTGTGGCGACACCCAGGAGACCGGTGCGGCGCTGTCCCTGCTTGCCCGCCGTGGCGCGTCCCGTGTTCCACGCAGCCCCGGTTTCATCCCCCATGTGTCGTCTGCCTTGCAATGCTTTTCAGCCAAGGTTGAAATTGGTCAATGGCAAGCCGCATCCGTTCTTCCGTATTACTGTACTGTATTTACTGTATTACTGTCTGTTCTTCTACCTCTAACGGGATGGGGGGGGGGGGCGCTCTGTCACGCTCATGAAGGTTATCCAAGATAAACCAATTTTTTTTCATAAAGTGGCTATTAGGGACCCACCCTTTTGCAAACAGGCGAACTTATTCAGGGGTTAAAGCTGAGAGACACTACCCAGAGCAAAGAGGTATCAAGAATGGCCTATGTGAAGGAGGCTTGTCCAGGTCGCTACTGGGCAGTTGGAGGTACCCACCCTTCAACAACCATGGCATGAGGAGGAGTGATGGTGACAATAAAGAACAGAGCACCGGGTGGCCAAATCCCAGCAAGTTGGGTAGTGGGGAGCGCAGGAGGTACATCTGTGAGTCATCTCAGCCAGTCAATGCATAACACCTGGATCTGTCCTGTGATTTTCTGCCAGCAAACCTTGGACACTTCTTTAAGTGCACCAAGCCTGGCACAAGCGAATGGCAGTTATGTGGATGTATATATGTGTGTCTGTAGGTGCTCGCTAGCAGCACTTTGCCGAACCGTTTGCTAAGGCAACACGGTGGGGATCTGTGTCTGTTCCGGCAGGCACGTTTGACCGCTTCATTAGCGTGGTGTCAGCACGCACGGCCGTCGGGCACGACCGCGAGGGGCGCGTCGTCCTCGTGCAGATCGACGGCCAAACGGATGCACGCGGGTACGAGCGCGGGTGCAGACGCACACGTGGGACTGCCGCCTCCACTGCTCCCACTGCCACCACCACCACTCCCACCGCCACCACCACCACCACCACTCCCACTGTTCCTACCACCACCATTCCTACCACCACCATTCCTACCACGGCCGCCATCTCTCCCACCACCACCGCCTTCGCTACAGCCATGGCGAATCCGCGGCCTTGATTTAAGAGCTGGGGAGCAGTAGTATAGCAGTTAGCTTGCTACGCTCACAGTGACGATTATCGGAACCGGGTCCTGGGCCTCCACGAGGTCGACTCAGCCTCAAATAAGTACCTGGTGTAAACACCACTTGGTAGACAAAGGCAGGCGGGCGTGATGCTGGCCACCCACCCGCTCGTGCGCCATGCCGGCCTTCATAAGTGTTCGCTTACAGCAACCCAACAGTTTGTTAACCTTATCTGGTGGATCTTTGTCTTTTATTAAGAGCTGCTCATTGGTTTTCAATTCCATGCGTCGTGCCTGTGCCACCCAGAGTGAACCTGTGGGAGTTCGCCGCCTTCCTGCAGGCGCACGGTGTCGTGAACGCCGTGAATCTGGACGGCGGGGGCTCGGCGACACTGGTGCTCAACGGCTCGCTCGCCAACTACCCGTCCGACCACTGGTGTGTGTGTGTGCCTATGTGTACTTCCTGTAAGGCGTTACCACTGCATGTCTTGAGGCTTATTTAACTATACTTCATGCTGGTCAGTGTGCGTTGCCAAAGGTATGGAGTGTTGGTGTTGTAGCATAGAAGTACAGTACTGCAATGGGTTTTGCTGCCCTTCCCTCTGCTGCCCACAACGTAATCATCGCAAGCCCTGTGCCAATCCGTGCATGGTGATCACCCACCCACGTGCTGTGCGGGCTCAACTCTGCTTAGCCTCTCATGAGATCGGGTGGGTCCTGGGTGATTGCGCGATTAGAACTTTTTGACAGACATGGAACAGTTCTCCCCTGCCATGATTCTAAGATTTGTCAATATGGCTTTGATTCAAAAATCTGTTTCATTTCTCCCCAAGCGGCGCACGTAGAACGTATCATGGCTTCCACTATTCAGGAATTGGAAACACAATGGGTTGTTACCCACTCACTATGAACAGTCGACCCCATGCTAGCACATCACTTCTCTTTCAAAAGCTCTTACATGCAAACACAATCACAATATTACAAGACCACCACACACACGGTCCTCTTTGATTGACTGTCGCGTCATGATGTCCCCGCGTGCGTGCGCGCGTGTGTGTGTGCAGTGCGGAAGACCCCATGTGGCGTTGCGCGCGCCACGTCTCCACTGTGCTGTGCGTGCATGAGCCGGCATGTGCGCCGCCTGGGTGCGGCGAGCATGGCGAGTGTGTGGCCGGGCTGTGCCGGTGCCGGCGCGGCTGGGTGGGCGCCGTGTGCGACACGCTGCTCTGCGGCGCCGCCAACTGCAGCGGCCGTGGCATTTGCACGGAAGGTACCGCCCGGCCCGGTGCTCGGTGGAGGCTCCCTTAACGTGCCCGTCTGCATTGGCGGGAGTGATGTTGTGAATGCCTGTGCCCAAATTGAGATGGAGCGGTGACGCATTTGTTAGCGTGCCGCCCTATGAACCCAGTGGCCTGAGTTTGAATCCCGGTCAATATTAACATCGTTACGTCCTCCTACCCCGCTTCACCAAACCCGCACTGACCAACCTGGTGAGGAATGGTCATATAACCACACGCACCACCGATTAGCACGGTTTGCTACGTACGGTGCGAAAGAAGTTTAGCATCAATAAATACAATAACCCTTGAAACCCGAATGGCACACGAGGATCCTCAGCCAGCAGTGGATTGACAGTAAGGGCAGCACATGTACGTGATTGGGTAGTGAGCACGTTAGCCTACAGTAGGCCCATAATAAACACATTAGGCACTGCCCGGCCAGGTGCTGATGGACTACCTGTGCACCTGTGTGTGGATGTGTGTGCGCGTGTCCCGGCAGATGGCTGTGTTTGTGACGCCGGGTGGATGGGTGAAAACTGCACAACCGGTAAGCGCTGCTACTGTTGGTGCTGCTGCTGCTGCTGCTGTGGGGGGCACAGGTGATGTATCGACCAGTCATCTCAGTCAGTCGACCCATGGCACCTGGGTTTGTCCCGTGACCTCCTGACACTTCAGATGGCCTTTACGTGCACATAGCCTGGCATAAGCGGCATCGTGACGTTCTGCCACTTAGTGGCGATGGCGGTTGTTGTTGCTGCTGCTAGTAATGGGATTTACGGCCGTGTTTGTGCCATCGAGAAAGGTTTTTTGCTTTGGTTTGGTTGTACCTGGTAGAAACCTGAACTGATGAAATCATTCCTCACACGGAGTAAAGAAAGCACTCCAGATCAATGCAGTCAGCTCTTGTGTGGAGGTGCAGAGTGGATCGTTAAATTGAGATGGATAAATGATGGCCGAGTGTGGTGGTGATGATGATTATGTCGTCCCCGCTGTGCGCCAGATTGCCCCAAGGGATGGTTCGGGGGCGGCTGTGCCCAGCGGTGCGCGTGTGCGCACGGCGCGACCTGTGACCCTGTGAGCGGGCGCTGCGGTTGTGCGCGTGGGTTCCACGGCGCCCACTGTGACGCAGGTAGCGCCGCACTCTCGCCTCAACACCACCCTGAACCTGCACCCCAACACCACCCTACACCCCAACACCACCCTACACCCCAACACCACCCTGAACCTGCACCCCAACACCACCCTACAGCTACGCTCCAACACCACCCTGCACCTGCACCTCAACACCACCCTGCACACGGTCCCCTCTTCCTCGATCCAGCCTCTCATCCTCAATCCAGCCTCTCATCTTCACGCAAACCCCAACTACTCGATCTAGAGGCAAGTCGGTCATAGGCTAAGAAGAAGAGGAGGTCTTGAGCTTGGACCTGAACAGGGACTTCACAGCATGGAAGGCTGATAGAGTGTGTGGAGGACAGTAGAGTGAGATGAGTGGGGAGAGATAAGGGAGGGTGTGGAGGAGAGTAGAGTGAGATGAGTGGGGAGAGATAAGGGAGGGTGTGGAGGAGAGTAGAGTGAGATGAGAGGTAGAAGAGTGTGTGGAGGAGGGGAGTCGAGTGAAATGAGAGGGAAGAGGTGAGCAGGGGTGAGTCCGTGGATGATGTTGAAGGTGGCGAGTGCAATCTTGATATTAATCCAGCATTGGATTGGTGACGCCTCTGCAGGGGAGGAGTCTGGCAGCGGCGTTTTCGACCGTGTGGAGTTCGGAGAGGAGGCCTTTGAGGCCACGCTGCTCTCACGACGCAGCACACTGACTTCCTCGCTGCACACTTTTTTACGGCAGCGATTTTTGTAAAATTAGCAACAACTCACCGAGTATGTTAAACAACTTGATTCATATACCCTTACCTGCCCCCCCCCCCCACTCCCATGCCCTGCAGAGTGCCCTCCGGGCCTGCACGGCTCTGGCTGCACCCTCGAGTGCAACTGCAGCCACAGCTGCACGTGCGACGCTGTCACCGGCAACTGCACCGGCGGCGCCCTCCCCAGCAGCATCAGCAAAGGTGGCGGCCCCGGCAAGGCCCCGTTAGGGGGGAGCAGGGCCTTCGTGTGACCACCCCTCCGGCCACACGTGGGCCCCCACTCCACCAGGAGAAGGGGTGACGACGATGGCGACGATGGCATCGCCATTGACTAGCGCTGTGACGTGGCCGAGCGATAGCGCGTTCGCCGCTTGTTACAGCGGTTCGAGACCAGTGGCCACCCTGGTGTAATACTGCGACGGGTGTTTTAACGGTTAACAAACTACGGTGCCGTCTGCTTCACGGCAGACGTGAAAGACCCGACGGGGCTGTTCGGACTTTGCCAACTTTCAAAAGATTGCTCGCAATTGACTTAAACCACACGGTAACGTCATACCCCAATGGCAGACTAATACCCGCCTGTGAAACACAGGCACCTGTGTGGTAGTCTCGTGTTATGAGCCAAATGTACTTAACCGTCGTTGATTGAATTAAACTTGCCACGGGTGGCTGGTTGGGTTAACTCGGAGTGGCTCGCTGTGCTGTGCTCCCCCTGCAGTGTGCTCCTGCCTGGCGCAGCGCGCGGTGCGGCAGGGCGCGGCCGCCAGCCTCTCGCATCTTGCTACGGAGTAAGTGCCGCTGCGGCGGCGGCGCCGCGGATCCCCGCACTCGACATCATCGCAGCATCGAGACATCGGCGCTCGTCTCGCGTGTACAAACCCTGCAGAGCCAGTGGTGGAAATTTTACATTCCTATGGCCCGGTCGAGTATATCTATAGGAAAGCCACTTGATCTCCCCACAAAGTGGTGCTCGTTTCATTGACCCTAGGAGAGAGATGGTGGACTGAGTGAGCAGCGAAGCAGGATATGACCTCACGCCCATCCGATTGGGAGCCGCTCGCTCTGCCGCTGAGCTCCCTGCTGCTGCCCATTGTATTAAAGGCATGTGTCCATAATTCGGCTTAGAATTTGAAAATCAAAGGGAGAAAAAAGTGATTCTGCCATACTTCACCATGCTGGTTAGTTCATGTTGGTGAAGGGGGCTGGGGTAGATGGTGCTTGGGACCAGTTGAGGTATTGCTACTGAGGTTAGCCTTGTCCGGGAATCGAACTCAGGTCACTGTTTTCATAACACAGTGCACTAACCCACTGCGCCATCACTACTCCACTCTCCTTAATCTATTTGCCATCATTGTCATGTGTCCCAACTCGTTAGCGTCGATGGGGATTAATGCATTTCCACCACTAAGCTGGTATCACTGCCTTCCTCAGCCTCCACAAACGCCAGCCACTGCCTCCATAAACCGGTCCTAAAGATCTCGGATGCTTTTTGCCATCAAACATTGAGCCATGTGGGAGAAGATGAGATCCTGCTACATCTACGCCTATGTCTGTCATCCTGGGTTCCCGTCTCCCCCAGCTCCGGCTTCCTTCCACTTGAGCGCTCCGCATCGCCCAACTACGGGGGGGGGGGGGGGGGGGGGGGAACAAGCCCGGCCCGGGGCCCGGCCGCTGCCATCTTCTGTCCTTCACTTTGTCTGCTGGGGCCGTGAATGCATTTGTGAAAGTAAAGGTGCAGACCCTGCAGTTGCTTGCTCACACCACTGCTGAAAGAAGGATGTGCACTACTTTGGCCTATTCTGCCACGATGGTCTGGCATCTTGGGCGTACCCACACTTTACCCCACCACTTGCTACTTGATGATCACCTGACTGATTCATACTGCTGGGTGGACGGAGTCGGTGGAGGGAATTTAAGAAATGTCCCCCCTTGTCTGAACTGCCGCGCCGGGACATGCAACCGGCCCGACACGGGATGATCTAATTCCTCCCCTCGTCGTTCCGTCCCTCCGCCCAGCCCCTGGTTCCTCGTCTCCTCCGCGCTGGCCGTGCTGGCGGCGCTGCTGGTGCTGGGAAACGTGCTGCAGTGGTTGGGGCCATCCCGGTGTCGGCGAGCACGCGGGCCTGGGCGCTACGAGTACCATGCGCTGGTGCCCACCGCCAACGGCCGCCAGGCCCGCGAGGAGGAGGTCAGCACAGGCGACGACGACGACAATCACGAGGTGGAGGCCTCCGTGGTGTCACTTACGGGACCGCCAGGGGTCACGTAGAGGTCGGTTACATTGGGAGAGGGCAGGTGAGCGGGGCGGTCACATGGTGCTGAGGTAGGGTCGCGCATTTGCTGCTGATTGATGAAGTTCGTGGATTGAACCCAGTAGTAGGTGGTTTCCTGCTTGAATGAGCATTGAGGCTGTGCTCATCTTCTGTTTACAACCCTGAGCCTGTGGTGTAAATTCTACATTCCTATGGCAGGGGTGAGGCTATCCATATGGTTGTATTAATCGTGAACACGCACAGTGTACTTCACGATGGATGTTAAAGTTCCCGTGAACGTTATTCAACAAAAGATGAGGCTGTGTGTGGCAGCTCCGCCATTCAAACTCGCCAAGTTTGGTAACTTACTCGCAGTTGAGGTCGTGTTGCCACGTGGCAAGATCGCTGTATGCCAGCACACTAATGCCCACTTGCTGCCTGGTGCAATGCCCACCTTTTGCTGCTCAGGAACAGATGGTGGCGGAGGGTGGTCCCCCTTGGCGCTGTATAAACGTCAGTCGTTGACGATGCCTGCCATTTTATTGGAGGTTGCCTGCCCAGTTGATTACCAGTTAGGGATGGCTGATTTAGATTTGGCCACATTTTAGCGACAGCAATTGACATTTGCCATCGACGATCACTCTTAAGTAGCCCTGGTTTAGCGCGGCCTTCAGCTCCGTCAGATGATGGAATAGCGCACTAGGCCACGGCAGCTCCATACCAGTTATGTCTTCCGGACTCGCATTTCCATGCCAATGGGGGGATGCCATGGTCTGTGCGGGAAGTGCACGAGTCGTGGGCGGAGCGGTCGCGAGGGTGATTGCGCGTTCCGCGAGCGCGCTGCGGGTATTAATTTTGTGGGATGTGGGAGCCGGGCGTTGCGTCCCCCTTCATGCGTGTGCAGAGCCTTCCCTGTGGCTCTCGCGCCATGCGACGCGGGAAGAGGTGGCGACGGATGTGTTGAGGTGCAATTCTTAACTGTGAACGACTCGCCGCCGTTTACAATCGGTTTAATATTATTGCGCGGCATGCTGTGACGTCAACGGGTCGGGTCTGTAGCCCGGCAGGCAGAAGCGTTCGTTTGTTTGATTTTCGTTTCCCAATGATGTTCCCCGGCCGGTTGTGTTGCAACACTTTATTGATCTACGCACATTGCTCATCTCTTGGGACTACGAGCCAAGGAAGGCTGGGCTGGGCGGATTCCGGGGGACGAGCAACACGGGGACCAAGCGTCTGCTGCTGTTGTGTCGGCAAGTGCCTCGTGGTTTGTCCGACGGTGGAACTCGCTGCATCCGTGGAAGCGTTTCACGGGCTGTGATGAAATAAACGTTCCGCCGCAGGACGTCGCATTGTCGTCGGTTTTGCCGGGCGGTGAGTGGATGACTAAGTATGTATGTATGTTGAACTTCTTTCGCACCGTACGTGGAGGTGCGGGGAAAGTGTATTACTGCGAGCCTCAGTGGGTTTAGCACAGAGTGGATGAGCAAACCACCGATTGGAGGATAGAGCTGCCGTAGTCAAGGTGAGAGGTGATGCAGGCATGGATGTCTCGATGGAACATCCGGATGGGATGAATCGGAGTAGAGTCCACTCCTCCCCTCTCGACGACTCCATTTGGCACATCTCGAAAGGCTCCGGGGGCACCGAGCCAGCCACTTTAGTACCGACCGCGCGGGTCAACGAGCACAGCGGTTGAATATCAAAGTGTTTTGTGGAGCTCCGTGTTTATATTGGGGGGCTTTTGTACGCCACGATTGTACCGAGTGGCACTCACGTGCACATCCGCCAGCAAAACAACAGCAGGTATTTGTTTCAAAGCCAAGGGACTTTGATCTAGGATGACACTCGGTGCATAACAGCTACAATTTGTTCAAAACCAATGCATCTTCCTCTGCTTAATTGGACATGGATGGGTGACCATGCATAACAGGTGCTGCAGAGATTCGTGGACAGCAGAGGGTGGTACAGCAAAATAATTTGTCCTGTACTTCTGTGCTCGCGTTTAAGCTGCCGACCTGCGCTGACCAGCGTGGTCAAAAATCGTCCCCACGACCCACACAGCATGCACAGGAGTGGAGTGACAATTTTGTACGCATTTAATTGGCAAAAGAACAAGCCAATTCGTTGAATCACAGAAATTACACGATCACAAGAATGCCCTTTAAAGACTGCATGTGATGCAACCGTAATGGAGGATAATTAATCCTTGCATGGTGGCGGTATTAACCGTTGATATGCCAAATTTAAGACTATCTGGTAACGTTTTTTTATTATCAAGGCAGCACATTGTGCAGTCTTCAACTCTTATTTGCTCCATCTCCCTTCGTTCTGGTGCCATGAAGGGCCATTGCCCGAAACGTCACCTTGAGAGATATTCTCTTCTTAGGTCATAGTATTGTTGATGCACCACACCACAGAGGGTCACACAAGACAAGGGTAATGCTTGCACACAGCCCTCCGTCGAGCCAAAAGAGAAGCAGAGGGATTGGCGTCCAGTGTGAGGCAAGCATGTTAATTTCATTTGTTTACTTAAATATCAAATCCCTTCGGCTTGCACAAACAGTATACAGATATGACACTACAGTGATGCACAAAGATTGTTGTAAAATAATGGCCCTTGAGGAGGGTGGGAAGAAGAGGGTCGGTGTGAAGTGACAACACCCTGGCATTTGCGGCGAAGCGAGAAGGCACAACCACAAACAGTGAAGACACAAACTCTCCAATGTGTTTTCGGGTGGTACTGCATGTTCCGGCATCGTGTCCGACGTTTCGCCCACGTGCAGGAGCAGCTCCCAGCACGCGGAGCAATACGTTGGGACAACGTGCCGACCGACGCACAATGCAGCCCATGAACACATCGGAGCTACACAGCAGCATTGTGAACGCCTACCGCAGTAGGGACACGGCAAGCCCGAGCAATCGCTTACAGCGGTGGAATTTCACATTGTCACCGGAGTCCAAAGGGTTCTCATCCCGCGCTCACTGAAGGCTTTCATCCATCACCTCTCCCCAACCCAACCACCATCACTCGGCTCTCCTTAAACTGCATAAATCGAACGTCATTCCGAATTGCAGCAACTGTGGTGATCTCAATCAGTAGCCGATGTCTGTGTGCAGGTAGTATGCGTCAGGGATGCAATGATGCAGATTTCAAAATCAATTGATTTTTTCACGATATGTGCATTGATTTGTAGAAGTACCGACAGTTACTTAGCCTAATCATGAGGATTCAATCGCAAGGGGAGGCGGAATGGTTACGCAACTCAGAGTTCGCATTAACACGGCTATTAAACATCTTCGTCGGGGTTTACGCGCAGGTATAAGGGACAATCGTAGAGCATTTGAAAAACCATGACCCTGGGACAGAATTAATTCAGTTCAAGCTGCTGCAGGACTCGACACGCACCACTCACACACTCGAGCGACCGATGTACACTTACGACAAACGAAACAAACAAGGAGACACCAATTCTGCCAACACTAGAGCTTGCGCAGAGTTACGCTGCTACGAGCACAGCCTCATACAGAGTGGACACAGTCGCAAGGGCCGGCAGAAGGAATGTACAAAACGCCATTTCTCTTGAAGCGGTCACGTCTTCCGGAGGCCACCTCAGAGGTCCTTGCCGGGGTCGGCCAGGTAGAAGTGGTACATGACGAGTATGACGAAGATGCTCACCACTGGTACCAGCCAGTTTGTCCACGACCTGGTCACAGAGTCGGAAGGGGTCAGGAGAGACTGCTTGGTCAACCCCCACTGGTACAATGACGAAGCCTCACCGTTCGGAAAAATAGTGGTGAGTGGCACATGGGGTGGTGTGGGACTCGTACCCTGCTTTCAGCCCGCCTGTCGTAGTGATGAATATGTCCTGGAAGAGATGGGGGCGACTGTCAGCATCGCATGACCAACAATAGAAATTTCAGTGGCTGCGTCTTACGACTTTACAGCATTGGTCCCAGTAGCATCATTGGCTGTGGTGGGGCCACCACAATACAGCCAAGAACCTCGCAAGGATTCACAGCCAAGCTACTGCGCTCGTGACACAGCGCGCTTCGTTAATATCAGATTATAATCTGATATTAACGATAATAATTAAATTATAAATAATAATTATGAACAATGTCCTTTATTTACTCAGTAAAATCTCTGAGTCTCAAGACTCATATTCAGAAGCATCCTGCTTCAGGATATTCAGTCAATTCTGTTAATTAGCATTTGGTTTAGTGTGGGAGGACACTCGGGTTCCACGGGGAAAACGCAACACATTCAATCCATTGCTGTTGGGTCATCTTCTGGCCACCTCACTGCCCAAGCAATGCAACAGCTGGTATTCCCAGGTAGTCCGCATCCAAGTCCTATCCAGGCTCAGGCCTGCTTAGCTTCAAACATCAGTCACTGGTAAGCATATTCTTGTTTTCAGTAACGTGAAGGCGAGTGCAGAACCCGGCCGTTATACGTACCTTGGTTTCTGTATTTTTCCTCTCGTCCTGGAAAGAGACAGAGCTCACATCAGCATGTGCGGTTTAAATATCACGTCTTGAAGTGATCACCCCCTGCATCGCCGCGAGCGGAAGGTGGCCTGTGCTAGGGCGCCAGGACCTGACACGCCGTGGTTGGTGGGGGCCGGGTGGGGGCATGAGCGTGGAGGTGGCAGGGAACCAAAACCACGCCCGGTGCTGGACCCCCCCTTGCAGGATCCACTCCAGTTTCCGTGAAGCGAAATCTGATGCCTTGGTTGGGGTGTCAGTGGGCTAATGTTTCCACTTATTGTAATAACTGTAACCCTTGTACAATGGGTGCCTCAGCAGGTGTCGGGCGGCTCAGAGGTCATAGATGGCACCACTGAGCCTGGGTTGGAATCTGCCACAGGTGATTAAATCTTGTTTATTCAGGAGTGACTTGATAGCCTCGGATATGCCACCAATGACCGCACACACAAAAACCCATCACATTCAATTAGTTTTTGTAATAAAAACTGCTGTTTGTGGCAGGGCATCTGGGAAAGAGCTCACCCCTACCGTGTGAACCAGTGATCACCTGAAGACATCTCAAAAGTCTCGGCCCAGTTGCCAATGACTGAACGAAAAAAAAACTTCTCATTAAATTTCGATCTGTACTTAATCTGGCTAAATTACAGCCCTGAGAATAAAAATATCAGTTTTCATGTTATGCAACGAACACTAAGTCTCATATGCAGACCTCGTGGGAAATTGCTGCTCCCCAGTGTGTGGAGCAGCTATCACTTGAAGTGATCTCATACATAGCATTGTGATATCTGCTTCCACGAAGTGTTCTTTAACAGAGGTTCACGCTGATGTCCAAGCAGTACACTATCATAATTGTCTCAAAAAATTATGCTGCAATGCAATTGGGATAAACTGGGAAGCAAGTTTTTTTTTGGTACTAAAATAAAGAGGAATTCACATTTCCCGCTGAGTCAGAGACCCACAATTCGTTTGAGGTTGCATCACTCAGAAGTCACGGGGGTGGTTTCTCGTGTTAAATCATGAATGGCTGCGCTTCACGCGTGCCAGCAACACGACAGAGCGCGCGTGACCGCCCGGCCCTTCCCCGCTGCCGCCAGGGTTATCCCGACTGCTCAAGCTCCCTGTGGGTTCCGATGCCCAGACTCATCATCCCCCCCCTGCCACCCCCCCAGCGTCATCACTCGCGCGAGTCGGTCGCGCCGTGGGTGGAAATGCGCCGGTGTTGCAATTGCGAGCTCGAATCCTGCCCGTGAATCGACTGAGCCCCCTTTCGTCCCTCTTGTCTTTGGTAAAAACTTAAATAAGTACCGCTTTGTGGGAAGTGGTTAATATAGACTTGTACCTGACACAGGTCAATTCCACTAGCAGTGCCAAAGTCCACAATCGACTTCGAACTGGAAACAAGAAGTGAGGAGCCACTGTAGCATGTTAATAAAATTGTGTCAGACAAAAGCAACTCGGTAAAATGTTCTCATTCAAGTAGAGTAGACTGAATACCTACAGAGTAAGTAATTGCTTGCCCAGTGGGCTGCTTTAGTATCACAGCACTGAGCCAGCACCTCTGAACCTTGGTTCAACCTCAGACATTACCCATCCCCCCATTCATTCTCTTTCGCTTGCTACCACCCGACGGTTACGCAACTGCCCCAGTGTCAAGAGTGACCGCTGGACCCGTCCACTCCCCGTGGCAGGCCCCCACGTACCGGGTGAAGGTGCCCGACGAGGTACTGCGGCAGGAGCTCCCGCGCGTCCCGCGAGTGGCCCACGTCCTCGAAGGACTCGGTTCCGTCTCCTCCCGCCTGCTCCAGGAGAACCTCCTCCCCGCCTGGGTGCTGCGGGGAATTGGCGGGTGGGAGTCCCTTAATCACTGGCGTTGAGTAGTGACACACTCCTCTGGGTAAGAGGAGCCCAGATCCCTGGATTTTTAGTTAAGGTAGCAGAGTCCTTGGCCCCTCTCTGGGGTAAGGGGACCCTCTGGCAGACAAAACACCTCGATTCTAGGGTAATAAAACCCTTGAATACTGATTTGTATATGCGGAAAAGACCCCTGGGTGGACGCCCGCGTGTATAAAGAGACCCTCCCAGGGCTTTGCGTCTTGGAGCCCCTGTGTGTCGTGACCCCTGTGTAGGGAGACCCGTCTACTCTAAGATCTCTGTAAAATATAACTCCAGAGCTCTGGAACGCCAGCATACAGGAACCCCGTTTAAGGGGACCGCTGTACAGAGACCCCTTGTGTGTGGAAACCGCCTAGGGAGACCCCTGATCTCTGGAATCCATCAATTCTAGAGGCATGTGCGAGAAGCCCCTGTGTGTGTGTGGAGACCCCTGTACTGCCGAGCTCATGAGAGACCCCCGGGGTTCGGGAGAGACCCCCGGGGTTCGGGAGAGACCCCCGGGGCTCGGGAGAGACCCCCAGGGCTCGGGAGAGACCCCCGGGGTTCGGGAGAGACCCCCGGGGTTCGGGAGAGACCCCCGGGGCTCGGGAGAGACCCCCGGGATTCGGGATAGACCCCGGGCTCGAGAGAGACCCCCGGGGTTCGGGAGAGACCCCCGGGGCTCGGGAGAGACCCCGGGATTCGGGATAGACCCCGGGCTCGAGAGAGACCCCCGGGGTTCGGGAGATACCCCCGGGATTCGGGAGAGACCCCCGGGGCTCGGGAGACCCCGGGATTCGGGATAGACCCCGGGCTCAGGAGAGACCCCCGGGGTTCGGGAGAGACCCCCGGTTTCAGGAGAGATCCCCGGGCTCAGGAGAGACCCCCGGGCCTTGGGAGAGACCCCCGGGTTCAGGAGAGACCCCCGGGTTCAGGAGAGACCCCCGAGCTTAGGAGAGACCCCCGGGATCAGGAGAGACCCCCGGGCTCAGGAGAGACCCCCGGGCTCAGGAGAGACCCCCGGGCCTCGGGAGAGACCCCCGAGCTCAGGAGAGACCCCGGGCCTCAGGAGAGACCCCCGGGCCTCAGGAGAGACCCCCGGGCCTCGGGAGAGACTCCCGGGCCTCGGGAGAGACTCCCGGGCCTCGGGAGAGACCCCCGGGCTCGGGAGAGACCCCCGGGTTCGGGAGAGACCCCCGGGCTCGGGAGAGACCCCCGGGCTCGGGAGAGACCCCCGGGTTCAGGAGAGACCCCCGGGTTCAGGAGAGACCCCCGGGCTCAGGAGAGACCCCTGGGCCTCGGGAGAGACCCCCGGGCTCGGGAGAGACCCCCGGCTCGGGAGAGACCCCCGGGCTCAGGAGAGACCCCTGGGCCTCGGGAGAGACCCCCGGGCTCGGGAGAGACCCCGGGGCTCGGGAGAGACCCCGGGGCTCGGGAGAGACCCCCGGAGCTCGGGAGAGACCCCGGGGCTCGGGAGAGACCCCCGGGGCTCGGGAGAGACCCCGGGGCTCGGGAGAGACCCCCGGGCCCGGGAGAGACCCCCGGGCTCAGGAGAGACCCCCGGGCTCAGGGGAGACCCCGGGGCTCAGGAGAGACCCCCGGGCTCAGGAGAGACCCCGGGGCTCAGGAGAGACCCCCGGGCTCAGGAGAGACCCCCGGGGCTCGGGAGAGACCCCCGGGCTCGGGAGAGAACCCCGGGCTCGGGAGAGACCCCGGGGCTCGGGAGAGACCCCCGGGCTCGGGAGAGACCCCGGGGCTCGGGAGAGACCCCGGGGCTCGGGAGAGACCCCCGGGCTCGGGAGAGACCCCGGGGCTCAGGCTCAGAAGAGACCCCCGGGTTCAGGAGCGACCCCCGGGCTCAGGAGAGACCGCAGCATTCCGAGATTCCCTCGCGACTGACACCGCCCTGGGTCGCGCCGCGCGCTTTGGACGCGGGAGGGACCCCCGCCCGCTCGCCCGCCCGCAGCCTTCCTCACCACCCCGCAGGCGCCTCACCTGGTCGAGGAAGGAGCTGACGTCGTAGACGTTGTCGTGCAGGATGATCCAGGTGCCGCTCGCCGTGTCGTTGTGGAGCTTCACGTCGGCGCGGCGGTAGAGCGGCAGCCGCGGCGCCGCGTCCTCCTGCTGCTGCTGCTCCTCGCACGCCGCCATGACAGAGGGGAGGGGGAGGGGGCAAAGAAGGGGGCGGGGTCACCGCGCGTGACGTCACCGCGACGGGGCCTCGCGCGCGGAGAAGTTCTCGCGGAACGCGATTCGTTAATCGCCGCCCCGCCCCCAACTGTTTATATTCCGTCTCACGTGAATGCTCGTTGTGTATGCGGGGGATGAACGACGTCGCTTGAGCAGGGAGCCGTGTGGTTTGTGTATGGTCCACGCACCCACAATAGGCCTGAGGGAGGGCCACGAGCAAAGTCAACACCACTTTGGTCTTAATATGCAACGTTCCGCGCAACGACCCTTCTTCAGAGCACCGAGAAACCAGACGTGCGGCGTCCCCTCTACGCCTGTTGCACGACTAAGGCGTCATTCAGGCGGCCAGTTGGCCAGGGTGCGGGGTGCGCTGTGGGGAAACAACAGGCGGAGGAGCCTCGATTCAGAACGGGTGGCGGGGGCTTTAGCCCATCGGATTAACTGTGTTGGTGCCACCGCTGGGGGATGCGGGATTTGAATTAACTTTATTGGTCGCGCCGCTATCCCCACGTCGGAAATGGAATGAACTTTATTGATCGCAGCTGCTATCCCAATATCAGAAATGGAATGAACTTAAATTTTTATTTAAAGCTTTCGTGACTGCAGGGATTCATATTCTTGGTTCTTTCGGTGAAGCCACGTAGAAGGGAAATAATAAAATAATATAAATATAAAATAATACAAATTCTCACGACGTTTCGACTGCAACACAAGCAGTCATCATCAGGTGTGAAATCCACAGCAAGAAAATTTGTGGATTTCACACCTGATGATGATTGCTTGTGTTGCAGTCGAAACGTCGTGAGAATTTTATTATTTTATATTTGTATTATTTTATTATTTCCTTCTACGTGACTTTACCGAAAGAACCAAGAATATAAAATGAACTTTATTGTCACACTGTTATCCCCACCTCGGCAATGGAATGAACTTTATTGATCGCGCCGATCACGTGACGTCGGAATAACTTTATTGCTCCGTCCCGCCACCGTTTGAAGATTTCGCGCGACTTCTGAACGAGACGTGAGGGGCAGACGGAGCAGAGGGAGATGAGGAGAATGATGATGATGAGATAACAGGGACGAGGAACGAGGTAAAGAAGACGAGAAGAACAAGGTGCGAGCAAGGCAAGAGACCCCACGAGGAGGAGTAGAGGAGGAGGAGGCGCCATGCAGAGCGCGGATCTCGGGAACAGGGAGCGCGGCCTTCTGTGGCACCGGAGAGCGGCCCCGGCTGCGGACGGGTGAGTCGGAGGCCCTCCCTGTGGGGCTGTGACCCGGGCACGCCGGGGTCTGTGACCCTGGCAGGCCGGGGTCTGTGACCCGGGCAGGCCGGGGTCTGTGTGGGACGGGCGAGTCGTACCGAGATCTGGTTACCGGTGTTGCTCTGTTGAACTTTATTACAGTAAAGCTGCACAGCACTGACAGGAGACCTGACCGAATGGTGACAGAGAAATGTGTGTGGGCTTGCTCTGTGGAGAAGGTGGCAACCCTGTATGAGAGAGAGAGAGACGAGGTTAGGATTAGAGGCAAGAAGGTGTGAGGTAAACAGGTGGTATGAGGCAGGTGTGAGGAGGAGGGCTTGATATGAGGTGATAAGCTGTTTGTTGTGAGGAGGTGTGAGGTGAGATGTGAAGGAAAGAGGTGGTATGAGGAGGAGGTCTTGGTGTGAGGTGAGAATCTGTTTGTTGTGAGGTGGTGTGGGGAGGTGTGAGGTGAGATGTGAGTTAAAGAGGTGGTATGAGGAGATGTTGATGTGAGCTGAGGAAGTGGTGTGTAATTGAGCTGAGGAGCGGATGTGAGGTGATGAAGTAGTGTGAAATGTGAGGTGAGGAGGTGTGAGATGAGGGGATGGTGTGAGGTTGGTGCATGTGCCGTAGCCGGCAGCGGTGTGCCGTAGCCGGCAGCGGTGTGCCCCACCGTTCCTTGTCCACCGTGCCTTGTCCACCGTGCCTTGTCCACCGTGCCACTTTGCGTGGTGCGGCGCAGGTCGGTGCTGCGGGTGCTGCGCTCGGTCGAGGGCTCTCACTCGCGCACCGTGAGGTTCCTCCACGCCGCGTTCGACTCCACGGGCGAAGCCTTCGTCGCTGGTGACCACCAGGGCCACGTCTACCTCCTCGACCTCGCACGCAACTCGTGAGCGGACAACTACCCGTCATTACACCTTGTGTTTTTGTGACACGTTGCTGTTCGTGGGAGGGCATGTGGGAAATGCTACCCCCTACTTGAATCGATCTCTCAAAGGTAGCTCTGTGGTATCTGCTCACACTGCGCTGTGAGGTTTCCAGATGAATTCTCCAACCCGTTACAGGATGCCATTGAAACAATTAGAATACGTGCGGGAGAAGAGACGAGGTTAAGCGGGTTTGGTCGCGTGTTGGCGTTGATTTTTGTGAATGACCTGGCGCCACATTTGTCGCGCGGTGCACAGGTTCCGCCTGGTGCAGCGGACAGGGCTGGCGTGCACAGCGCTGGCGTTCTGTCTGCGCCGGCGCAGCGAGTTCCTGGTGGCGCTGTCAGACTACTCCATCAAGTGCTTCGATGCCGGTGAGCGCCGCGCCGCACCATCGTCCCCGCGTGCATTCGCCCGAGTGTCGCATACCTGTCAACCCCTTATCAGTGCCTACCTTGTTACAGACCAATTCAGACCGTATTGGTTACCCCCGTGCCCTTGTAAATCTCAACGTTCATCCTACAACGTCCCATCACAAACGAGAAACGCGAACAAAGAGACAAAAACAAATTTCCCGTCTTGAAACGGTTGTACGCCGTATGGACCTGAAAACACAATTTCCCTGTACAAGAATACTTGATGCAGTAAATTTAGCTGTGACGGTCCCACCTGATGACGGAGACTTGTGTTGCCTTCGAAACGTCGTGATTTATTATTTTATTTCTATTATTACTTCGATTATTTTTTTTATTTTTGCCTAAGAGTAATACGGGTAAACCGTATGGGTTGACAAATATGGTGTTGGGTAGCCCTCCTACTGGATAGCAGCTTCACTGAGAGTCTTCCACACATGTACCTGTTCGCGCACAGCCTTTTGTCAATCCACTGCTGGATGAAGGCCTACCCCTGCCGTGCAGGTCACGGGGGTTATTTGACGATTATTCGCCAAACTAATTATTCCGGTTTGCTGAAGGCGGAGAGCGTAGACGTGGGAGCACAACGAGTGTTTCACTGCACCGCCCTCTGCTGTCCATAACGTAGGGTTTCACACAGTTGCTCCGAAATTCTCACACGATCACGACCCTTAATATCCCTCATTGCAACTCCTGAAGACGCGATGGTGTGTGGCGATGAAAGCCCAACACGTGGCTTGACCTGGAAGACCACACTTGTACCTCTTTTCCACTATACAAACGAGGTGTGCCAGGGTAGTGCCGAGCCAGCCTGATACAGCAGCCAGATTATTTTCCCACTGCAGAACAACTAAGTACTCAATGACGCAACATACGGCGAATACTATTAACCCCACGCAACACCAGATTCCGATACATTGTTAGGCCAGAGTTTGACAGTTTAGTCCTGGCTCATCTCAGCAAATAGCCAGTGGGAAACTTCCTGTGATGGCCACGCTCTGCCGAGGCTAATTTGTGTCAAGGGGAAAGAAGTATTGGATTACGAGTGCCTGCGAAAACCGATGCGTGAAAGCGATGCGTTTGTGTAAACGCATGCGCGCATTCAAGAGACGAGCGAGCTGGTGAGCTGGATGCGCGGGCACAACTCGGCGGTGAGTTGCATCTCGGTGCACGCATCCGGGCGGCTGGCGCTCACCACGTCCGGAGACACCGCCCAGCTCTGGGACCTCGACACCTTCCAGCGGCGCCGGCGCCTCACCCTCAGCAACAATGACACCTTGCAGAAGGTAGCGCTAATGTCACCTCGTAGCCTCGGACTACACCCTGCAGCCGAGGCTTGTAATGATTTGTGGATCAAATATCAATCCTTTTGCTCACAATACAAGTATAAAACTGTGTGTGTGGGAGCTGATTGTTGTCCTCTCTATGTTAATGGTCTCGTTGAATGTGATAGAACAAACGAGACTGATACAGTTGGCTACATATTGTGCAAAAGAAGTTCAACATATATACATACAGACAGTATCAAGATGAAGGGAAATGGGATGGGGAAGGGTCCATTCAATTTATTTCACCAGGACCCATGCCAACCATGTTATGCTACTGTTTACAACATCAAGGGACCTCTGATTCCAACTGCTCAAGTAAAATGGAAATACACCTTCGAATAAATGGAGTTGGATGGAAAGAATCATCAACGTTCTCATCATTCCTTGCACCAGGGCCCATGCCAACCGCGCCAGGCCACTGTAACCCCCGTCGCCTTCGTGAGCATGTGCTTGTGTGCGTGTGACGCCGCGCCAGGTGTTCTTCCTGCCGATGAGCAACACCATCGTGAGCTGTTTGAAGAATGGCTCCGTGTTAGGCTGGGACGGCGACTCGCTCGACTGCCGCTTCCAGCTCCCAGTGCCCCCCACTAGCGCGCGACTCGCCTACCGTGTCTTTGCGGCCACGAGGTTACCACGCCAACCCCCCTTCCCCCACTTTACCGTCGAACCGACACAACCAATTAGTAAGGTTTGTCACGTAAAAAGAACATGCGAATTCGTTACTAGTGCAGCACATCGGTGTGTTGAAGAGCAAAGCAACAACATTTACGTGACAAACCTTACTTATTGGCTGTGTCGGGTGGTGGCGGGTTTAACGACATGTATATTTACGCGATATAACCCACAAAACCTATATTATGCATTATATTGGTCGCTAAAGCTTACGTGTTGAACGAAATTATCTTAATCTGCGTATTCGTTCAGCCTTGTTAATTTTGTCTGGTCATCGTCACGCTTGATGATTTTCACCCACTCGTTATCATCTAAAATATGAATCACTTTGTTGCCGAATGATTTCGAAAACGAAACTGACGCTGCTGTGCTCGCAGGGACGGGCGGACGCTGGCATGCGGGGGCCGCTCGGGCTGCGTGCACGTGTGGGCGCTGGAGCCGCGCCGTCTCGTCTCCGTGCTGCAGATGCCCCCAGCGGTGCGCGCCGTGCGCCAACTGCACTACCTGAGCGACGCTTTCGACGGCGGGGCCAACCAGGTGGGGCACACGAGGACCCGCAGAAGCACAGGAGGAGGAGCGACTTGCCACGCTTTGGAGGGAAATTTTTTTGGAAGCGAATTTTTCACCGAGACTCCTTCTCCTTGTGGCTCACCCCCCTCCCACCCTGGCAGGTGCTGGGCGTGCTGGCGCAGGACGGTGTGGCACGCTTCGTGCACGTAGGGACGACGCAGCTGCTCTTCTCGCTGGGCAGTGGCAGCGGCGGTGGGGATGGTCGCCCTGAGCTCGCTGGTGGTGTGCCCGGCAGGCCGGAACGTGCTGGGACTCGGCGAGGACGGCGCGATGACCCTATATAGCATCGCGGCGCTAACCCACTCGCTCAAGCAGGCACGTGGACGCGGGCTCACAGGATAACGCACACACACACGCACAGGGCGTGACGATAACCGAATTCTATCACTCCTTGTAAACGATGAGACACTCATCGGACAGAAAATTGCGTGCAGTGTGGAAACAAGAGTGATGGTACGAGTGCAGCCCTTTGTCAATGCACTGCTGGATGAAGGCCTTCCCACGGTATCAGTTTTGACAGTTTGCTTTGACTGTGCTTTACAATCCTGGTCGGTGCGCGTTGATGAAGCACCCAGGACTGGTTCAGATATCACCCACTACTGATGTTGACCGTGGCTGAACGCCGGATTCATAGCCCTCCACTCCCACGTGTAAAACTACATCCACAATGTTACTTCTAGACGGCAAAAGGTGTGATCGTAACCCCTGGTTCAGTCCTCCCACCATGCCTTGCATGTCACATGACATACAAAGCCATGTTGCATGCATGTATCAACCTTGTTTCAGTCCACCAGGACTCACAATTATGGCGTTTTTAACACATAGGCTTTCGCGACCAATAATTATGCACAATATAGGTTTTAGAATGAAAAAGGAGGATTTCTCCACAAATCTGCCTGTTGCCTGAAGATGCTAGTTGTCATTATTGTCGAAATGTACTCAGATTGTAAATGTTGTGGATTTACTCTCCAACACACTGGTGTGCTGTACTAGTAACGAATTAGCATGTTCTGTTTATGTGACAAACCTTCCTAATTGGGTGGTGGTGGTTTTAACGACACATTTATATTTACGTGATGTAACCCAAAAAAACCTGTTATGGATAATTGTGTTCTTATTAACTTATACAGCAGCATGCACGATGTAACTGATGAGTTTCTCATCAATTATGGAAAGCATTATAATCGGTTTCTTGTCACCCGTAGGCAGTGCCAAACTGTCCCTCGCTTTACATGGAGAAGCAAGGGCTTCTCCACGTAAAGCTCCTGTGGCACAAGGCGGCCGTAGTACTAAGCAATTATCTGCTGATGATTCCTAACAAAGATGAACCCGGTATTGTCCTGCTGGTTCCAAAACACAGTACAACCTGGAACTGAATACTTTAGTCCCGTTCTATAAGGAGCTCCCAGTACATGCACTGAAATATGGGACATCACGCTGGGCAACACGCGGTGCAACCCGGAAAAGCATCGCATTGGAAAAACGACATCGTGGCAACCCTAGTGGTGAGCAGGGTGGACGGACAGGTGGGGCATCGGCTGACGGCGCCATCTCGGTTCTATCTGCGTGCAGCCGCCTCTGTCACTCGTCAGGGTGGTACAGGAATCGAAGTCGCGCGGGAAGATGACGCCCGCCGGTGACGCCCCTCCTACACGGCGCGTCGGCTCGGGAAAAGTGCGGCGGCCCTCCCGGGTACGTGGGGAGGCCGTGGGCACGCGGGTGGAACGAGGAGGAGGTGGGCACCAGCATGGGGAGGAGCAGGTGGAGGGGCAGGGGGAGGAAGTGCTGGATCGGAGGCGCCTGCTCGCACTGCTCAAGGGATTTGGGGAGTACCCGGCTAAGTACAGGTCAGGGTTGTTACCTCTGCCCTTCATTGTTATTCATTATATGTGCTCTGCATTATTTTTTATGTTATCAACTCGTTCGAAATATCAGTTGTATTTAACATGATCTTGCGTGTCTTGAGACATCGCATCGAGTCCTTTGTCAGTCGCCTGCTGGATGAGGTGCTCGTAATGATGATGCTTTTATCGGTGTTGCCGGCACAGGTTGTTCATCTGGCGTGCGCTGCTGCAGCTGCCGGAGAACCATGATGTGTACAACGCGCTGGTGGAGAAGGGCACACACCCCGCGTACGGCGCCCTGCACCGGCACTACCCCGTGCGCTCGCATAAGCTGCTGCGCGGCCTGCAGAGGTGCGTCCCACCCGCCGGTGGCAAACAGCGGCACGCATGTTGGGATTATGACTGGCTTACATTTACTATCATTCACAGGACCAGTTAAGATAAAACGTTACTCTCCACTGATGTTAGCCACAGCCGGGAATGGAACGTGGGTCGTCGATTTCATAGCACAGTGGGCTCGCCACTCTACCACCGCTCCACCTCATGACTGACTGGTAGAGTGGTAGATTAATACCAGGGGACTAGGCACATGAACTTTGTCTGTGCTGTGTTTTACACTGCTGGTACAACCATAGTGGTTGTGGTCCCAGCTATGGATTCACACCTGGTGTGTATGAGCATGTTATTTGAGTGTAGCTGCACAATGCTGATGATCTTCAGAAGGTGGAATCTAGCGGGTTCACTCATGTGCATGCGTTCATTACGTGCGTTATGAACGTGGCGATCCCAGTTCGATTCCCACTCATGGCCTCTGCTTGGTCGACTCAGCCACAAATGAGTACAGTTTCTGGTGTGGTGTGTCAAAATCACCACGAGGGCGTGGTGCTGACCACCCACCCCCTCATCTGCCGTACCGGCCTTCATAGGTGCTCTCTTACAGCACTTGCCCTGACAGTCTGTTAAAGGCTACATGGGGGATCTTTGTTTGTATCTGTGAGCAGGACCCTGTCGGCACTGGCGCACTGGGCGCCCATTTTTGGAGAAACGGAGTTCCTCCCTCTCCTCGCTTTTCCCTTCGTCAAGCTCTTCCAGAACAACCAGCTCGTTTGCTTTCGAGGTCCTCGCCACAGTGCTCGGTGAGATAACAACATTTCATGCAGTTGCACAAACAGACGTTATTTTAGCAAGCCAGCCACCCAGTCACATCGTTCACCAGCCATTCAGTTACCCAGATACCCAGTCACACAATTAACATCGCCAATCAGTTACCACCCACCCATCTCATGTGCCTTGCTGGCCTTCAAAGGTGCTCACAAATCACCCTTGCCCCAACAGTCTGTTAAAGGCTACACGAAGGATCTTTGTCTTTGTGTCGCACCGTGGCGCGCTGCAGTGAACTGGTGCAGCCGCTGGTTTGAGTATTTCCCGAACCCCCCTCTGAACGTGCTGGCGTGCGTGGAGAACGCACTGGCGCACCACGACCACCAGCTGCTGCAGCACTTCGTGGACCACGGAGTCACCGCGCAGGTGCAAACGCCATCACTGTCTGCGTTAATAAAGCCTGATTCAAATCAAGTGTGCGCATGTGCGTTCGCATCTCCAGTGCATGCATGCACGTGTTGCACGTGACGCAGACAGCATTGATCGCTTGGCGCGTTATGTGGGACGTGTGTAACAATTATCGGGTGTGTGCAGCGTGGAATGCGTTAGTATTTCAATGGAAGGAGGAAAGTGGTAAACGCAGAAAGATGTAGCGTGGTGATGGGCCATGACCACTGGAGTTTGGCACACCCTGCCACGTAAAAATAGAAAATAATTCTCGCGATATTTGTAGCATGCGTTTTGAGAAAAATAATCGGTAACTCGATGCATCGTTCTGTGTTTGCTAGGCCGTGCAGTCCCTTGAATCTGCGTGTGTGCAGTCTGCTGAGTTTGTGCGAGCGTGTGTGGTAGGTGAGGAGTAGCAGTGTCGCAGCAGGTTAGCGCACTGCTCTATGGACCTGGCAACCCGAGTCCTGTTCGTGCTCACGGCGAACATTGGTGACGAATATCTAAACTAATCCTGAGCCTTCCCTTGGTCAACTCGGCCTCAAATGAGTACCTGGCGCAGTTTGTAAATATCAGCATTTGGGAGACAAAGGCAGCCGGATGTGGTGCTGGCCACCCTCCCCCTCTTATGCCTTGCCAATCTTTGTAAGCGCTCGCTAACATGCACCTCCGATTAGCACGGTTGGCTGCGTATGGTGCAAAAGAAGTTCAACATACATACGTAACAGCACTTCACCTCAAAGGTCTGTCCAAGGCTATACGGGGGATCGTTGTTCGGTAGGTGTACGCATGGCCGCTGCTGGAGACGCTCTTCTCGGAGGTGCTCACGAGGGACGAGTGGCTGCGGCTCTTCGACTGGGTGCTCTCGCGGCCACCCGCATTCCTGCCGGCTGTTGCCGCCGCCTTCTCGTCCTGCGCACGCGGGGCCCTGCTCCGCCTCACGCAGCTCGAGGACTTCCAGGTGAAGGGTCGCTCGCTCGCTCTCGCACCACGACAAGCGTGCTCACACTCGCGCGCTCATGCACTAATTTCTCACGCGTGCGGACGGACACGTGCACGCTCGCATGTTCACATGCGATACGCACTCACCCTCTCAAACTCGCTCAAAAGGCAACGATCCGCCCTATGACAGATTATATTTTATTGAGGCGAGTGCTGTTAGCGAGCACCTATAAAGGCAAGCATGCCATAGGAGGGGTTGGGTAGCCAGCACCACGCCCGATCGCCTTTGATGTTTACATTTAAGGTTAAATCGACCTAGGGGAGGCCCAGGACCGGTTAAAATATTCACCATGAGCGGGAATCGAATGGCTGTTGGGTTCGTAGCGCAATGCATTCGCTCACTCACACACATGACAAAGCTCCCCCGTATACCCTTAACAGACTGTTGGGGCAAATGCTGTTAGTGAGCACCTATGAAGACTACACTCACACATACACACGCGCACGCGCTCTCCCTGTCACCGTCCTCTGCTCAGTTCTTCTTCCACCACCGTGGCGGCGTGGACATTGGGCGCTTGCTGCGCGAGGCCCAGCGGCTGCTGGACACGGCACCCCAGGACGCGCAGCCAGGCCCCGCCGCCGAGGAGCAGTTCCAGCCGCTCCCGCGCGGCCTCTACCCAGTGTTCAACAAGTACCCCGAGAGCGTGGTGCAGTTCCACGCTCGGGAGCGCGACCGCATCTGCGCTCAGGAGCTGGAGTACTTGCGGGAGAAGTGAGTCACCTCCATCTCCTCCGTCTCCCCCCATCTCCAGCCACCGTCATTTTATAGGTGGTAGCCACGATGAGATGGGCAAGAGCTTCACGGTGTTGGCAGGAACCTCAGTCGGTGGCGATTCTCTTGACAGTTTTATTCACAGTTTTAGTCACAAAGCAGTGTTGTATAGCTGGTATCCACACATACAGTTGTTACTTTTGTGAAGCACCATTAGTGGGGGTGATTGGGTATGGTTGTGGGGGTGAATGTCATAATGAGTGGTGGTTGTAAGGATGACTGTGGGCGGTGACTGCGTGGGTGACTCGGTGACGTATATGCAAGTCGCTCTGGCCGGCGCATGCTCTCCGCGAACTGGCAGAGGAGGTGGAGGGAGGTGCCTTGTGATGGCTGTGGCGGTGATTGGAGTGACGATTGCCTGGTAGTTACCGTCACGATGGCTGTGTGGGCGACGGAGTGACGTGTGCTCGATTCGCCGCCACCAGGCAGGTTCTGCATGAGCTGGCGGGGGAGGCGGAGCGTCGCCGTGCCGCAGACGAGGCCTGGAGCCAGCAGCAGGCGGAGCTGGTGCTCGCCGAGGAGGGAAAGCGCAAGCAGCTGCAGCTTGAGGAGCAGCGTCTGGTGGAGCAGCGGGCACGGTGACGGCTCCCTTGGCCTCGCACTCACATACGCACGCTCACACCTGCACGTATACATATGCACGTACTCGCACAAATATACCGAGGCACTCCTACTTGCTAACTCGCACATATTCACATATGCATGCATGCAAGCATTCACAAATATTAACTTACACAATCACACATGCTCACACATGCAATTACACAAACACTAAAATAATTAATTCAATCCTATACATATACACAGACAAAGATCCCCCGTATAGCCTTAATATACTTTTGTAGCAAGCGCTGTCAATGAGCACCTAATGAAGGTTGAGCACCTATAAACACACAAACTCACACATATATACATACACACCAACACCTATCCACTTACACAGTTACTTACATACACAAATATAGCATGCACACTTTTACACGCTCACACTCACAAGCACCTACACACTTGCACATGCACACACATGATCAAACCAATATACTCACACACCGCACACGAGTCGTCTTTAGTCAGGGAACTTTTATTGTTCCAACTCACAGCGCACTCGTGGAAGCTTACTATCCGATTCTCCCAAAATAACCCCAGCATGCGTCACACGACCATTTTTATAACCTCCTCGTTCTAAAACTTTCTTGAAGGTTCCTCAAATCTCCCACTCCTCTCCAACAATCCTGTCCCTTGGTTTCTTCTCCCTCCCTCGCCTGTCCCACAAATCTCTCTTCCACGTCTTCATCCAATCCCGTGCTTTTTCCGAGTCCGCCAGTGCGCAAGCAGCCCTTTCATTAATTATTTTAGCAAAGGTGTCCTTACGTGGTCAGTGCCTCACCCCAAAGTGTCTCCACATGACCCCTGAACATTCTTGGGGACCCACACACACTCGAAACTCGGCGTGTGGAGACCACGGGGGCTCTGCGGGCGCGGTGCTGAGCTGCGTGGTGCGCGCGCCCCGTGTCGGCGCAGGCTGGTGGCGATGCGGCGCGAGCTGCGTGTGAAGGAGCTGGCCATGCTGGACGCGACGCGCCGGCGCCACGAGCAGCAGCAGCTGGCGAAGCGCCGCACCGACCTCGCCACGCTCGACCACCACATCGAGCACACGGTGCGCACTGTTGTCACCGCTGGGCCTGGGGACTCCTACCCCATCTCTACCCCGTGGGACCCCCCCTCCCCCCTTCCTCACTAGTGCCCTACTCCACGGGGTCCACTACCCCATATCTCCTATTTCATGGCTTCCCTACCCCACTGTGTCCCCTACCCTGTCACTACCCCATGTGACCCCTACTCCACTGGGTCCCCTACACCACTGGGTTCCCTATCTCATGAGTCACCCACCCCATCGTTTCCCCATGGGCCCCTCCCCAACCTCCCCCACCTGTTCACGCCATGGTACTGCCCTGCGTTTCAGACGCGGCTGCGAGACCAGGAGACCGAGGCGGCCATCCAGGAGGTGGAGGTGCGGCGCTTGGAGCTGGAGACCCAGCGGCGGCTCTTTGAGCTGGTGAGTGATTTGATTATTGACAACAATGCCCGTTGACCAGAAACACGACAGCCAACCGGGTCTTGCTTAATTAAGGTGTCAGACATCGCCGATGGCGATATTATTGAAGACGTTTTCGTGTCCCTGTAGAGCTCTGTCTGGAGCAGTTGGTCGTTGGCCTGCACGCTTCACATGCGGCGTGTGCATTCTTGGTCCTCAGGACCTGGCCAAAGAACACGAGGCAGTGGACATGCTGGTGCGTGGTGAACTGGACATGCACCGCCGGCGGGCAGGGGAAGAAGGCGTCGACGAGACGCTGACTCGAAGCCGCACGGCGATGGATTTGGAGAAAAACACATCGACCGGACAGGTGGGTTGCCCACGTATTACCGCACCATAAATAATTATCATCAAACCCATTGCAGTGTTCTTGCGTTGAATTCCTTGATGTCTCATTCTCCTTTGCTGCTCCATCGTCAGGAACTCCATTCACTCCAGCCATCTGTGCTGTCGAATCGTTGCCTCCGTTCAAGTCCAGGCTTGACTGCCCATGAATGTTTTATGAGTAATATGTGCCGACTGCTTCTGGATACTGCTACGACATGCAGACCCATGCACTTACACAGACTCGCATCAAGACCCACAGACCTACATAGACCTACATAGAAATATATTTACAAAGAAACCCACAGTTTCACGTAGAGGCCCGTGCCTCTCTCTAGGGCATACATTTCCACCTTTTCCGCACAGCGTCTTGAGATGCGGCCGTGTTTAGACGCTGTACAACGCATAATTGTAGCAGGCTGTGCACACGAGCCTGGCGACGGCGAGCGGGCTGGCGCAGGACGGCGCGTGGCGAGGGGCGCTGGCGAGCCGTGCCGCCCAGGGCGCTGCGCGGGAAGAGGCGAGGGCCGCGCTGGTGGAGCAGGGAGAGCGCGCGGTGAGGCACGAGCAGAGGCAGCTGCTGGACGCCGCGCAAGCGCTGCACAACAACCGGGTGAGCCCAGCTCCCGGAGCCACCGTGTGTCACGCTGTTCACACCGCCGCGGAGGTTTGCGCGGCTGTGCTGTGCATCAGCTCTCCAGTGTGTGTTTGGGTTGTACCACGCGTTGTTCGGCGCGATGTCCCGGCGTTTCGCTCCATGTGCCGAGAACGTACACGTGATTTGAAAAAGCTGCCAGCGACTTGCTTTGGGAGCTCGCCTGTTGTTTTGGGAGCTCGCCGCGTCGTTGCTTTGGTGTCACCAATGCTCTGCGTGTCCTGGTCTGTGGGGTGCAGTGGGAGGAGGTGAGGAGGCGCTGGGAAATCCTGGAGGTAGAACCTCCCTCGCATGACCACGTGGCCCAGCTGGGCCCTCGTGATGCTCTCCTGGTGGATGAAGAGAGCACCGACCATCCCATGGGTGAGCGTCCTCGGTGGCCGGCTATAGCCAACTGGCTCCACAGCTGTGGGCACCAGGACCTCTGTCTTCTTACTGCGGAGGGTATGGCGGATGTGGCCGTTCTGCTGGGATAAGAGACGTCCTGTATAGCAGGGCTCTTCAACTGGCGGCCCACGAGCCACATCTGACCCTCGGAGGTTTTGGAGATACGACTCGATGAAGAGATGGAGAATAATGAGATGAATAATAGACAAACAAAACTGCTGAGAGAGCTGGAAAAAATAAAAATATTACTGACATAAAAGATTGATAAACAGGAGGTCAAAAATTGTAAGAGGTACAAGTGGTGATCACATGTAACGGGCGTTATGATGTCACAGCGCCATGTGACGTCATGACGTCTGTACATGTGACCTGTGATGTTTATGTAACGTGGCCCGCTGGCAAAATATGGATAGAAGTTATCCTCCTCTAGAGCAGCTGGACAGGAACACTCCGATCTCACAATCCTGGTTGTGTCGTGCAGATTACCTGGGCGATGTCGGACGCCGGGTTGCAACGAGCGAGTCTCTGTGGGGCAAGCACTCGCCATCGCCCAACCGGCCGCCCACGTGCCTCAACGACCCCTCCAGATCGGATGCCGCCCACCCACAGAGTGTGTATGCGACGTCACCGTTCGCTCGTTACTGATGATGAGCACACGTGACTGTGTGTACGCAGACCGCCACTGACTAATTCCATAGTTCATTCGCAGCCCATTTGCCAATCCGCGGCTGGATGAAGGCCTCCATGACAGTCATGGGGATTGTTTGACCGTACTTCACACTGGTCAGTGTATGTTGATGGAGGTGCGGGGAACCCCAGCACTGCTTCAGAAATTACTCGCCACTGATGTTAGCCATGGCTGGGAATCAAACTCAGGTCGAAGGGTTCATTGCGCACTGCGGTTAACCACTGTTCCACCCCATTTTTTTTCTAAAATTAGATCATTGGGGGTGTAATGGCGTTACATTGGTTAGCAAGCTACATGATCAACCCAGAAACCCAAGTTTTATTCCAGCTACAGCTAATATCAGTGCCAAGTGATATCAAAACCAGTCCTTCCCTCCCCCTTTGCCAACTCGCACTGGCCAGAATGGAGACAATAAAAAAAAATCCATAATTGACATTGGATGAAATTGATAGTATATCATTCCCTTTAAAATTACAATCATACGTAGGACCATAATTTGTGGAACTGCCCATGTGTGCCCATGTTTGTCTGTGCGCGGGCCTGTGCTTGTGCATCTCTGTGCGCCGATATGTGTCCGTGTGCGTGTCTTTGTTTTGTTATTGTCCATGTGCCCGTGTGTATTTATCCTTGTGTGTGTGTGTGTGCGCGGGTGCCCCGTGTCCCCACGTGTGTGTGTGTATGTGTGGGTCCCCGTGTCCCAACGTGTTTCCGTGTGTGTGTGGATCCCCGTGTCCCCACATGTGCCCATGCAGTGAGGCCACACACGGGGCTGCCGTCCCTTGGGCGTGCGGAGCGTGATCTGCTGGGGGACGTGCGGGAGCTGCGGCGCCGTCTGGCCGCGCAAGCCCTGGCCGCACCACCCACCCTGGCGCGGCCTGCCGTGTATCGCACTTGACCCGCCGTGTATCGCACTTGACCCGCCGTGTATCGCACGTGACCGAGCGAAGCGATTGTTCCAGACTGAGCCTTGATCTTGCTCACGACTGCATTTGTGTTACCTTTATATGCAGGATTCTGTGGTCGGTAATGTTACCTTCATATGTACACGACCATGGCCTTTGTTTTAATCTGTTATTGACTGCACCAGCCTCTGCTCCATTTGTCGATGAGACACGCATGCTTATACACATGCGCACACATGCGCACACTCTAAAAACAAAGACTGTTAAGGCAAGTGTTGCTTGCGAGCAGCTATTTGAGCCAGTACTGCATAGGAGATGGTGGTGGGATCAGCACCATATACATGTCCGCCTAAATCGAACTCAGGTTTCCAGGTTAGTTGTGCAGTGCGATAACCTCTGTGCCATCACTTCCCACGTACCCACAAGAACAACAACTGCTGTTCTCCACGAAGTTGCAGTGACATCACGGTGCCTGTTCCAGGCAAGGTACACTCTTGAGACCACGTTAAGTGTCGAAGGCTCGCTAGCAGGAGGTTACAGGACAGACCCAGGTGCTATGCGTTGATTCAGATGATGGACAGATGCACCACCTGTGACTACCCAGATCTCAAGTATCTGTGAGCTCACATAGTCCAGTCTAGTTAGACCCAGGATGGATTGTGGGCAGGCCAGCCTAAAATTTTCTAAACGGCACATGTTCTTTCAAAGGGGTCCACGTTTCATAAGCACAGAGAAGGGAGGGAATAATTGTGGCCGAGAAATGTGTGGAGCGACAGGCCAGGTAGTTGCCACGCAGCATTACGCAGCTGATGAAAAGATGCTTCTCAAATGATTTGGAGTGAGTCCCCTTGCCAAACAGGAGTACAAGCACAGAGACAAGACACCTGATAACCCTTACCAAATATGGCAAATAACACCCAGTGGCAGACGAATGTAACATACTTGTTATCGAAGTGGGCTTGTGTTTAGTGTTGTATTAATGTATGCCTTATTAAATTTAAATTATCTGTCGTGTAAATGGTGTTAATTACAGTTTGAAGTTAAAATATTACTTTGATTTCCTCAGCTTTAAGATGTAGCGGGACTTGCAGTGAACTGATGTCCCTTGTGCTATCATTTAAAACGTTTTCTTAATTGAGTTGTGTTGTTTGTGTGACGTGTGTACGAGCTAAGAACTATGTGTTTCCACGTTGTACTCACCTGGTGACTTAGCACAAAAATGTGAGCGATATTGTAATGATTTTGTTAATAAATGAGAGGAGAGGCAGGAGAATGCGTGGAGTAAGATTTGAGGGGAGGTACGAGAGCGCATTCGGTAGCGAAATGAGAAGGGAGACATCGGTGAATGCGTGGAGGAATTAGGAACCATTCCAATTCCGAACCAATCAAGATGAGACCATGTCAAGGAAAGATTTTGCGAGTGGGCAGTGAAGTTGGGTTCGTGGAGTGAATGGTGATGAAGTGATGGCCATCATTAAAACTGGAGATTATTTTAACAAGATTGAGCAGGGGGGGGCAAGGATGGAACCATTTTATTTCTGATTTCCTGCGTTCTGATTTTCTGGACCCTGTCTCAATAATATTTGGCGATATTCCAAATTAAACGTCGCAAATCTAATGACTAAATTTTGTTGAGGATTGTTCCTTAACCTACCGGTGTGAGTTAAAGCAAGCATTCGTAAACCATAGCGTAATGTACACTGGAGGTGATGTGCTCGGTTCATCCATATTTTCTGGGTCAATGAACCAAACAGGCCCAGCTGAACTCAAGTTCCGTGGCCGGTTACAGTACAGTGTCTGTGCTTCTTAACTGTTTACACTCCATGGCACACTTTCAAGCTTGCTCGATCTTGGCACAACACTCGTAGCTGCGAGATAAATTAATGATCCCTTGCTTATCTCCCTAGAGAATTAGGAGATCGAGTGGCGCTGCCAAAATCCGTGACAATTGCCGAACGACGCGAGTGGTTTCGTGGCCGTGCGTGTCTGTGGGTGTCGGTGTTTATTTTCTCAACTGGGGCATGTGCGACCGAGGGCATTGAGAGGGCCGTGGGTGGGGGGCTGACAGCTGTCCGCTGCCGACCTGCGTAGAAGCAACCAATGGAGAGGCGGAGGAGCTGGATCGGCCACTGAACGGCACGCGACCATACGGCGCACCGGCCGCGAAGCACTGGGTTACATAAACATCTTCAGATGAAATGCCATTCATTTCCTACTACCTAATTTAATGTCAACTAAGGAACATTTTCAGTTAAAATATTAGGCAACTGACTACACCAAGTGAAATTATTATGTAGTTTGCATAATTGACGTAAGTTAAACATTTTCAATACCATTCGTTATCAACCTACATTTAAATATAAGGGACATCTCGACTAATACCGTTGGTTGCGTTTCCCCAACCATGATCCCTACTCAGCATGGTCGCAGTGAAACCCCCACCCAGCATGGCCGCAGGGATACCCCCACCCAGCATGGCGGCCGGGATACCCCCACCCAGCATGGCCGCCGGGATACCCCCACCCAGCATGGTCGCTGTGAAACCCCCACCCAGCATGGCCGCAAGGATTCCCCCACCCAGCATGGCCGTCGGGATACCCCCACCCAGCATGGCGGCCGGGATACCCCCACCCAGCATGGTCGCCGGGATACCCCTACCCAGCATGGTCGCCGGGATACCCCCACCCAGCATGGCCGTCGGGATACCCCTACCCAGCATGGCCGTCGGGATACCCCCACCCAGTATGACCGTCGGGATACCCCCACCCAGCATGGCCGTCGGGATACCCCCACCCAGCATGGCCGTCGGGATACCCCCACCCAACATGGCGGCCGGGATACCCCCATCCAGCATGGCCGCCGGGATACCCCCACCCAGCATGGCCGCCGGGATACCCCCACCCAGCATGGCCGCCGGGATACCCCCACCCAGCATGGCCATCGGGATACCCCCACCCAGCATGGCCGCCGGGATACCCCACCCAGCATGGCCGTCGGGATACCCCCACCCAGCATGGCGGCCGGGATACCCCCACCCATCATGGCGGCCGGGATACCCCCACCCATCATGGCGGCCGGGATACCCCCACCCAGCATGGCCGCCGGGATACCCCCACCCAGCATGGTCGCCGGGATACCCCCACCCAGCATGGTCGCCGGGATACCCCCACCCAGCATGGCGGCCGGGATACCCCCACCCAGCATGGCCGCCGGGATACCCCCACCCAGCATGGTCGCCGGGATACCCCCACCCAGCATGGTCGCCGGGATACCCCCACCCAGCATGGCGGCCGGGATACCCCCACCCAGCATGGCCGCCGGGATACCCCCACCCAACATGGTCGCCGGGATACCCCCACCCAGCATGGCGGCCGGGATACCCCCACCCAGCATGGCCGTTTTGGGTGTGTGCGCGTCAGGGGCCACCGCTGACGCCTCCCGGCTCGGGGCGGCACGGGGAGTGCCCCAGGAAGCCGGGCGAGGCGACGATGGCGGAGTCGAGCGTGCGGGACGAGTGGGACGAGTGCCTGGACGCGGCCCTCCAGGTGGCCCGGCAGGCCGGCGAGGTGAGCGCTTGGGGGGTTAGCGGCGTAGCAGCAACTGTGTGGTACAATCTTGATTTGAAGCTGTGTGGTACAGTTGTGCATTGCGCCGGCCCTTTTGTCAATCCACGGCTGGGTGAGGACCTCCCCACGCCGTGCGGGTCGTGGAGGGTGGTGGTGGGGGGGGGGGGTTGTATGGACGTGGAACTTCTTTCGCGCCGTACGCAGCCCGCCGTCGTGCTAAATCGGAGATGCGGTGGAAGCGCGGCTGCTGTCAACCCATGCGGGTCGCCCCGTATTGTTGTACAGGGAAATTAAGTTTGCATGGCCATACGGCGTACGGCCGTTTCAATGCGGGAAAAATAAATATTCTGTTGTCTGTGTTTGTCCCTTGTGATGGCACTTTGTGGGATGAACGTTGAGATTTGTAAGGGGCACGGGGTGACCAGCAAGGTCTGAGTTGGTCTGTCACAAGGTAGGGCACTGATAAGGGGTTGACAGGTGTGGGGAAGCACAACAAACCAAAACACAAACAGCAGTTCTACATAAATTAGTTTTTAATTTGATTGACCATACTTCACCACTGCGCTGCGCTGGTCGGCTGCGGGGTCGGTGCAAGCGGGACGCATAGAAGTGCAGTCTAACACCAACGTGCAGTGTGTTTTGTTGCAGTGCCCTCTGCTGTTCAACAGCAGCAGCCGCAGCCGACTTGCTGTACGAAACAGGTGGACTTCACGAATCTGGCTGTCGCCTGATGAAGCTAGTTGTAATTACTGGCGAAACGTCGTACTCAGATTGTAAATGTTGTGGCTTGGCTCTCCAACACACCGGTGTGCTGTACTAGTACACTACACTATACACTACACTACACACTAGTGCTGTACTAGTAACGAATTGGCCACGTTCTGTTTACGTGACAACCCTTACTAGTTGGCTGTGTCGGGTGGTGGTGGGTTTTAACGCCACATTTATATATTTACGCGATTTAACCTAAAAAACTACTATTGCTGTACCCACTCGCCTGTACCCATTCAGACGCTGTGAAGGCTCAAAGCCCTGCTGAGCCTCAAGAGATTTGACGAGATCGGGGCGGTCCTGAGCCACTGAATAATGATCGCAGCAGCAGCAAAATCATCATCATCATCAGCTGTGACTTGTTCATTTAACTTTTCTCAGCAGCATCAGACCAATAATTATCGGCAAGCTTTTCATGGCTCAAAGCATCACCATCAACTACGGGTCGCATGTCTCCTCCGCCGTCCGTCGCGTCAAAACTCATCCACACAGTTTAGTTACAACCACATCATGGGACCTCCTTTGCCAGTACCCAAATATGAGAATAGGTTTTTCACCTTTTTTGCCAGATAAAGAGGGGAAACCCCTATTCTCTTAGTGACAACCACTTGAGCAGTCTGTGCGGCCTTCAGCGGAGGAGGAAAAGTGCACATCGACACGAATTCACTGTCTTTCTCTCTCAAGTGCAGCCCTCTTAGTCGTGGCCAGCAGCAGATATCGACATTGGCATCTCGCTCCGGAACGTTTTGCCATCCTCAATAATAAAAGTCACATCATAAGTACGCGTACTTTGTAGGATGGACGTTGAGATTTATGAGGGCACGGGGTGACCAATAAGGTCTAAATTTGTAATAAGGTAGGAGGCACTGATTAGGGGTTGACAGGTATGTCAGCGTCACCATTGGGCACCATTCGTATCGTTGTTAATTTGATCAGCACCGTCATGTTCATCGATTATTGTGGGAGTCGTCAGCAACGGTGTCATCAGTACAGCCCTCCCTGGCACCACAGTGTTCTGCAGCTGCCATCACCAACCGCCCCACCCCTCCTCCTTCGAGTTGTCGTTTTAAGTTTATTTTTATTTGTGACACGGATAATCCCGTTCAGCCAGTTTCCCCGCTAATTTGCACGGGAGATCCGTGGTGCATGAGCAACAACAGCAGTAACACAATACAAGGAGGTCCATGTTGCAGAGAACGAGTACACGGTCCTTCAGGAATACTGCACAACTAGCAAAACGAAACTACTTAATGGTCGAAAACAAAACACGAGAATAACAAAAAACTGGCGCAAATATAATGAGAGCCAAAGGTGCCAGAATAGGTTATAGGTCCTACTTCTATTACGTTTAGTTGTCCTTCCCCCGCACCTCCGATTAGCACGGTTGGCTACGTACGGGTGCGGAACATACGTACAGGTGCAAGTTAGCTCTCTGTGTTCGTCTTTACAGAGATATAAATACACGCAAATCTTAAAAGGCAGTGCAAACATTTGAAAGGCAAAGAATAGCAGACCATGCAGTATTGAAATACGGGACTTATTTATTGGACTTATATTGTACACAAACACTCAGGGGAGGAGCAGACGGTGTGCACCACGCAAGCAAGGATGGCTAGCGAGGTGGACCTCAGGGATCGGATTCTAAACGAACGAAGAGACGGGGAGAAGGCAAGAGTTGGTGGTGCCCATCTCAGGCAAGCTGAGAGGCCGCATCGGATGGCTAGGATGGGGCACGTCGTAGGAAATAAGGAAAACCACGTGGGTAAAATCGTGACGAGACATGGAAGTACCGTGGCAGAGACAGAGAGGCAAGCCTCGGATGCGGTGGCTGGAAGTGGTTAGCCATGGACATGAAGGGCTATGGAGTGGATGTGGAGATTATATTATATTCTTGCGTATGATGGCAGTATGTTCAGGGGCTAAATGCCAATGTCGAGGCCTTCTAGCCACGACGAGAGGGCTTCAGTGTGATATTGCTGTTCCTCCATTGCAGGAGCGTGCAGACTGCAGTGGTTTACTATTTGGTCCATAGTGTGGGTCACATGCCCACGGTGAGATGGTGACCAATGACAGGAGTGAGTGGAGAAACAGGACCAAGAGGGCAGGCCCCACATGAATGGGGTAAAAATGTCAGGAGCAAGTCAAAGCCACCATCCCACTCATGAACGCTGCACCACTCGTGGCCCGGGTTCTGTGTCTTGGTGCGTGTGCGTGCGTGCATGTTCAAGGTGGTGCGTGCCGCACTCAAGACTGACAAGGAAGTGCTGACAAAGAGCTCGGAGGCAGACCTCGTCACGGAGACGGATCAAAAAGTCGAAAAACTCATCATTTCATTTCTTCAGCACAAGTTCCCCAGCCACCGGTTCGTATGCCATGGGCCCCAGAGCCCATATGGAGGACACCACAGGCCTCAGCTCCCATGCGAAGCAGCCAGCGACCGGGTTTGAGTGATCATGCGTGCAAGGGGATTACTAGATGATTGGATTGGGCCCTCCTATCATGCCTTGCGTGTCACGTGACTTCACCGCACTGAGCGTGTGACGCGTACTGCCTTGTTTTAGACTGCCGAGCCTTCAACAGAGTCCACACTGATGTTGTGGCCACAACATTAACTCTTGAGTTGGTGGTTTCAAACAGGACTGTGTGCATTCCACGCTCGGTGTGGTCAAGTCACGTGACATGCAAGGCATGATGGGAGGACAAATCCAACGGTCAAAATTGTGCCTTTTACCAGCTAGAAATCACCTCTTTACACAAAGTATTATCGTGAAATTATTACTTTTATCTGCTGCCAGCCCACACTCAATTTTCCGTCTGGTTATACAGAGAATGTGAGAAGTTGGTTAAGGTTGGGGTTTGCCGAGCGGCTGGGTGGACAGAAGGTGGCACTACAGGCTTGCTCTGGCTGGGAGACCATCGCAGAGCGTGACATCACATCAAGCCACATCATTGGGCGAGTTCTGGTTTCATACATTGCAAGTGGAGGCTGGGTTGTGGTTACTTGCAGTTGATTTTGAGGTAGTGGTTTCCATCATGCTCACAATTGAATCTATTGGCTATAACTGCACCACCGTAAATGTGGAAAACAGATTAGGGCACGTTGATTGTCTGTGTCTCTCTCGGTCTCATGGGGAAAATAAAGGATGTGGTCTGGTAGAGTTGTGCAAAATGAAATTCAATTTTAGGAATTCATTCCAGGATTAAAATTTCCAGAAAACTATCGGAACAGTCAACAGCATGGGGTGCATTTGTGCGGGCGTGCGCATCGGACGGGCCACGCCACCACGCGCTTCGTGCGCCATGCCGACCGCAATGCCTCGAAGGGAGCTCGCTCATGACACTTGCCCCGGCACTCTGTAAAGAGGCTGTACGAGGGGGCTTGTGACTTTGTGCGATAGGCATCGATGTTTGGCCTTCCCCCACCCAGCGGTTCTACGAATGCCCGAGATTCATAGATTGCGACTCATTTCAAGCATCGGTTCTTTTTTTCCAATTTGTAACGTCTCTCGTCTGTTTTCTAACTGTTACCTCATTTCCATGGTCTTGTTCGCACCAATAGATTGAGCGTAACATCAGTCATTCCATTTGCGTATCGGTTGCATCAGTTGTAAGTAGTCGATATTTCGGCGCGCTGTTCAATGCGCACATTGTGATTGCAGGAATTTATTTCGCTCGGTGGATTAAGGCATCAGTGCATGTCTTGCGCACAGTCCCCTACTATGTGGACCAGTGAAGAAGTGCATTTTTGCACTTGCAGGGACACATTCGCTCATAAAGTGTCGAATATATAATTTGTACTGTGTACGTCTGCGATGTCTGAGACAAACATCCTCTGTGTGGCATTTAACAGACTGTTGGAGTAATAGGTGCTGTTTGCAAGCACCTATTAAACCGGCATGATATGTGAGGGCGTGGTTCTGGCTACACCCACCCCGTTGCGTGCCAAACAGCCCTGAGCAGGTGCATGCTATTAGCACTCGCGCCACCAGCCTGGCAAAAGGCCACACCGGGGATCTTAACCAGATCGGTGACACGGACAAGCGGTGGCACGTTTGCCACGTGTTGCAGAGGTTTGCGGTTGGGACCCAGCGGCCGGCCCGGTCAATACTGCGGCAGGTTTATTAACCATAAGTAGGCGCCGTCTACTTCACAGTGGACGTTAAAGATCTCGTTAATTTATTTGAAAACAGAGCAGGCAATGTGTGCCAGCCAGTGTCACGGTGCAACTTTGATAAATTATTTAATCGGGGAAGCCCAATTTGTAACAACGCCCCCTTCTGGCAGACTAACGCCAACTTGCTGGCTGTTGCTGCAAGTGAGCATCTGGTACCACAGGGACAGCTGCCACCGGGGTTCCCCTGGGCTGGACCGCAGCTCGGCATTGGAATGGTTGAGTGGAGCTGTGGTGTAAGGTGCTCTCTGGCGCCGAGACGCTGAGCACCATTTTACACGCCCCCCGTGTTTGCTCGTGCGATGTTTCCATGCGCGTCACGTACTCCGCGACAGCTTCATCGGAGAGGAGTCGGTGGCGGCGGGCGAGGGCTGCCACCTGGAGGACGCCCCGACCTGGATCATCGACCCTGTCGACGGAACCACCAACTTCGTGCACACGTGGGTCTCCTCTCCAGCCACGGCGGCGGCGGCGGTCGGTCGGTCCGGAGGCACGGGGGACACCGCGGGGGGAGAGAGCCGCGGAGGGCTTCTGCCGGGGTCAATCGGCTAGTCGATGGGTACCGCCACATTGCCGGGTGGGACATTCCGCGGTTAAATGCCGCCGGTGAGCCACGACTGCTTTGCCCGCGGGCTACGTCCCCCTGACCTTTCATGTAAATACCCCACCCGTCAAAGAGCGTTGAAAACGCCACTCGGACGTCAAACCCAGCAGCTTCGGCAGAAAAAGTTATTGCCGTGGCTGGAAGTGTCGCCGCGGTTCATGAATGCCCCGCCTTGGTGTCGCCTCCGTGTTCCAGGTTCCCCTTCGTGGCCGTCTCGATTGGCTTCGCAGTCAAGAAGCAGGTGGGTGGTTGTTGTCGGCCGCCCGTTATCGTCCCGTCGCCACCTCTCCCCCGGGCGTGGTCTCGCGGTGGACGACGGTGCTCAGGGGAGCATGGCCTCGGGATTTCTCAAACGCAAGAGAAACAAAACAGGGCATGCGCACGCGTTATGCGACGCTTTACACCGCTCCTGTGTGCTCAGAAGTATTTCGTGGCAATGGCAGCCAGCTCCGGCACGAGGCGCGCCTGTCGGCCGCGATGACACAACACGGCTTGGGGAGCAGAATCAGAATCTTTATCTCGACTGAAGGAATTTGATGAAGAAGAATCCAATGAAAAAGAAGCTCTTTTTCACTAATGCGTCTGCCAGGGATGAAACCAGCAACCTCGTTTCATCAATTTGGCCGCTTTCTCGCGAACAGCAACGTAACTTTGTACTCAAGTTATTTTAATCTTGGATCATCTTTACGAGCATTATCACAGAGCCAGTCGGCCACAGATCTTGCATAAACGCTTGTGACCTAAGTTGGAGAGGGCTGAAAAGTCACCTGGATTTGCAAAACATATGCCGAGCAGCGTCGCTTGTTGCCGGCTAGCCGCGGGCCTGTGGCCTACGTGCCGGGCACGTCACTCGCCGCTCAACGGCTCTCACCGACAGCACATTGCCAGCGGCGAGTGCCGTGCCGCTATCAATACACCAACGTGAGCCCACACCTCACAGCGGCCTCTAAACCTTGCCAACAGTTGCTCAGTGTAATAAATCCCAATTTAACGGTTGCCTCATAAACAAGAACTCTGTGTACAAATACAATGGTGCACACCCATTACAGCCATTTGTCAACGTTGTCCTTAATCCTAACTATTACCTTTTTGTGACATTAAGAGTGATTATATTATTAGTCATTCCTCTGTCAATCCACTGCTGGATGAAGGCTTCCCCATCAGTCATGGCGGTTGTTTGGCCTAGACTTCACCACGCCAGACAGCTTGTGCATTGAAGGAGGGTGAGAAGGAGCCATTCAGATATCCCTCGCCACTGATGTTAGCCATGGCCGGAAATGGAAGTCAAGTCACCGGGGTTCATATCGGAATTCACTCACCACCGCGTCACCACTCCCCACCCACCCGTGACATTAACATTGTCGTAAAAACTACTTGGACGTTAATAATCTTGTTTTTGGTGACATGACCCAGTGCATCCAGCGCACCGCCCTGCATTCTTTAGCGGTATAGGTCACACGCATTTGTGCAGCTTACGCGGAAGGCAAGGCAGGGTTGGGCTGCCAGGGCTAAAAGTACATATCGAGGTGTTGTGTATTATTTATGGCAACTGATTTGGGATTCGTCTCGGATCCAACGTGCCTTTCTGAAATGTTTCAAGTTACGTTTGCCGCGGAGGGTGGAGGCGGGGTGGCAAGTGGCTGCCCGTAAACCAAGCCGTGCCGGGGTGATTGCCTGCCCGGCAGATTTACGGCTCGCAAATATTATCGCCAGAAAAACAAACAGCGCACGGTGGCTTGCACGTGCACGCGCGGGCCGCGCACCGTGTGCTCGCTGGACACCGTGTACCCGCCGCGCGTGGGACGCTGGAAACTCAATGCGCCAAAGTGGCACGAGTTATTCCTAACGATTAGCCAATTTGTCTGTGTGCGTGTGTGTGTGCGTGGGTGGCGCCGGTCCTCGCGAACCCAGCTGGAGCTAGGAGTGGTGTACAGCTGCGCCTGACGACAAGATGTACTTCGGCCCGCCGCGGACGGGGCGCCCGCTGCAACGGCGAGGCGCTGAGCGTCTCCGGCAAGCACGGTAGCAGCCCCCACGGCGCCACCGTGGCAGCCCCATCTCACCGTCGCCTGCGCTGACTCGTGTTGATGTCCCGTTGCTGATGCAGTGGGATCGATTTTTAATCGACGAGTCGTTTGCATGCCTAGTAATTGGGAACGTACGGTGGGGGGGGGGGGGGGATTTGGCCCCGAGCGTCAAATCCAAGCCGACGTGTCTGACCGCTCTGCCTCGTTTGCAAGTGACGAAGTGGTGACGAGGTGGGGGCGGCCGTTCCGTTGGGAACGCTCAAAGAGGAGCCGCGTGGGTCCGTGCGCGAGCCGCGATTGGCGCCGCCACGAGACCGCCCCCCGCCTCGCGGCCCTGGCGCGGCACCTGCCGCCGCCGCGTTTCCCCCGCGGCGTTGCGTTGACCGACCCCGACGTGGAACGCCTCTTGTCACAGATCTGTCCAAAGCCCTGCTGCTGACGGAGATGGGGTCGAGCCGAGACGCGGCGGAAATGAAGACGACGTTGGGAAACATGCATCGTCTGCTGGCGACACCGCTGCACGGGTAGGCACGGCGTGGCCCGCGCGGTTCCCCGGTGGCCGTCCGGCGTCGTTGGAGCATCGAAGCCGTGACGATCGTCCCTGAGGTTCCACCTTCGCGAGAATCCGAACAGGAAGCGGTCGTTACGCAACGCCGGACAATCGGACAGCGCTCCAAAGTGGTTAAAATCTACCGCTGTGTTGTTTTTGTCATGGGTTAAATGGGGGACAGTAGAAACATTCCTGGCCAAAGTGTTTTTGTCCCCTTTGTCAGCCGTATTTAACAGGGGTTTATTAGGTAACAATCCACTAAAACCCCTCGATCGTAACAAAAGTTCCATGCCAAGTCACGTTCGGAGTCGCGTGTCGGAAGAAGCGTCGCAAGTCGAGTTTCTGCGTTGCAAGTCGATCCGTGGCGGCGTCGTGAAAACACCTCGGGAGTGCGGATCGTCGTTGAGCGGGAGGCCGCCTCTATATATGTCACTTCTTTCAGGCGAAGGCACCGCTCTTGCAGACTCAAGCCTCGTTCCGCTTCGGGGCGCTGTGCCACGGGCGCTCGTTTGCGAGCAGCTCCGCCGTGCACGGTGTCGTCACGGAGGCGGCGTTACGCAACGCGTGGTGGGGCGGGTGGTCGGATCTGGTTATGTAATTTTTGGTCCATTTTACAGGAGTACCAAAAAAGCAAGGGTGGGGCAGTGGGGTGAGTGGCCAAAGCACAACTAGGGGTGCTCCTGCTGCTGCTGCTGTTGCCGCTGCTGCCGCCGCTGCTGCTGCTGCTGCTGTTGCCGCTGCTGCTGTTGCCGCTGCTGCTGCTGCCGCTGCTGCTGTTGCCGCTGCTGCTGCCGCTGCTGCTGCCCTCCGCCAGCGCCAAATGCCGAATCTACGTGCATCAAACTTTTTTTTTCATGGCACTCTGCTCCTCCCACCCAGCTTAAATATACGCTGCCAAGCTTAGCAGTGTTCATTACGACGCTGTTTTTCAGACAGCTCTGTTCTTCACCTGAGGACGGCTGCTTGTGTTGTGGCCGAAACGTCGTGAGAATTTTATTTTATTATGTTTTCTTTTTATTATTTTATTATTTCCCTTCTATGTGACTTTACCGAAGAACCAGGAAGATACGTGCATCAAATTGTGTGTGTAATATTGGACTGCTTCCAATTTTCAGGGCGTAAAAGACTAAGCTTTAAATCATAAGTACCATTAGAGGTTAAGTAACTTCATGTACTTCAACCACTCTGCATATAATGCGACGCTTTTAATTATGCGTTCACCAGGTTATTTATTCATACTAATGCACGTAGGTTAATGCAGAGGCGTTTATTTGTGAATTGAATTGTGAGCCCGCTTAGCAACGATCTATTAAATCACGGAAGCCGTAATAACGCTAGAGGTTCTGCACACTGTTCACCGTCGCGATGTCCCAAGTGAGAGGCTGCACGCTCAGCCTGGGATGTTTACCGAGAGTAGATTTTTCACCGATGAGGAGTTGCTTCACTTATTATGGATGGGCAATGAGACAACATCAACGGTCGCGCTGACGTCGCCACGGCGCCCCTGCCAGGCAAGGTCACGCGATGTGGCTCACTGGCAGGGAGTCATGGGACAGACCCAGGTGCCATGGGTTCACCGACTGAAATGACCGGCAGGTGAACCACCTGCACTCCCTAGCTGTGTCAACTCGCTGCGTTTTAGCCGCCCCGGCGCTCCCATCGTTGTTGTGAGCATCGCCACTCAACCCTCCGTTGCCATCTTGCCAACAAGACGGCCGCCGCCCCACGTGTCGAGGTGCGGGGACGAGCGTGGAGACACACGGACCTCTCTCTGTGTCGCAGGATCCGGCAGCTCGGCTCGGCCGCCCTCAACATGTGCGCGGTGGCGGCCGGCTTTGCCGAGGCCTACTACGAGTTCGGCATCCACTGCTGGGACATGGCGGCGGCGGCCGTGATCGTGCGGGAGGCCGGCGGGGTGCTCACCGACACGGCGGGTACGCCCCGCGTCGCCGGCACCGCTCCGCCCCCCGTCACCTTTCTCATCGTCGTCCTCATCTACGTTTGTCATTTACACCCGCGCCTCCTCCCGTGCAGCATATTTCGAGGCGCCAGAACGAAGTGGCAGTTGAGATGTTCGCTCACGAAGGAAGTGATCGCGGACCAAGTTTAATGTTCGCTTGCAATGCGGTACGGACGATACGGCCATTGAGAAAACTCTCACCCGTGCCGCTTCGTCTATGACGACGAGCAACTCAAATGGCATGCAGGCTGAAACTAATTAGAGTAATGATGATGACGTTGATGCAAACAGTGGTGATATCCAGACGGTCCCCCCTCACCGCGCGTGCCCACTCCGTGTGGCTGACCGTCCGTCCTGTCCCGACCGTCCGTGCGGGTGTGCAGGCGGCCCGTTCGATCTGATGTCGCGACGGGTCATCGCCGCCAACAGCAAGGCCATCGCCGGGGCCATCGCCGCCGTCCTGGAGCAGAGGCAGCCGGAGCGCGACGACGCGGCACACTAACACACACACTCACACACTCACACACTCACACACACACCCACACTCACACACTCACACACTAACACACTCACACTAACACACACACCCACACTCACACACCCACACTCACACACTCACACACACACCCACACTCACACACTAACACACTAACACACACACCCACACTCACACACTCACACACTCACACTAACACATACACCCACACTCACACACTAACACTCTCACACACACCCACACTCACACACTAACACACTCACTCACACACCCACACTCACACACTCACACACTAACACACTAACACACACCCACACTCACACACACTCACACTCACACACTCGCACACACTCACACACTAACACACTCACACTAACACACACACCCACTCACACTAACACACTCACACACCCACACTCACACACACACACTCGCCGAGCTACGGGGGCGGCTGCCGAGGGTCTCCTCCCGGGCTCCGGGGGCTTCCACCGCAAGCGCCCGGGCTCGCCCCTCGGCTCCCTCCCGGCCACTTGACCCAAGCGGTGGAAAACTCCGGCAGCCTCCACCCCCGCTTGCTTAGAGCACGGTTGGCTACGTACGGTGCGAAGGCAGTGCAACGTACGGTATGCGCGGTGCGCGTGGAGGATGAAGGTGCAGCCCTGCAACTGCCCACCCACGCCGCTGTTGGCGGAACAGCCTCCAAAAGAGAGGGCGCGCTAGAGATGGATGCCCTCTGGAGTGGTTTGTTGGTCTCCGCCCCACGGTTTTAGACCAGATAACAATCATCTGTACCATCGTGTAGTCCGCAATCGACTGTGAGGTCCCACGAGTCATTGACTCGATGATTGAATCCGGTTCAATCCCAGCAGCGATGGGCGCACGCGGTCACCCCGCCGTGGTCCAGTGCCACTGGCAGTCGGTGTAGGGCCCAGCGTGAGGTCAGTCGGTCACCGCACGTCCTCGGGCGAAGACGTATGCACAGGGCTGGACTTTTATTTCGACATTTTTATACGTACGGAAAAAACGAACATCGATTTTTTTAAATATCACTCGCGATTATCGATGACGCTCAATCAACATGATGCAGCGGTGATCCGTTTTGAAGGGTTGAGTAATCCCATCATCTCTCTGGGGGGGTCGATAAAGTCAGTACCACATTGTGGTGAATTGAACAGCATGTTTCCTGTGGATATACTTGCCGATCCATGGGAATGTGGAATTACATCACTGGCTCCTCGGGGATGGCTGTGAGCAGGACATGAGCGCCGCCTCGATGCCCATGCGACCCGGAGCTCGCCCTCGTCTTGGTTCAGGTCTCCAGCGGTGGAGCGTGCCTGGCGCTGGTTGCTGGCCACCGCGGTGCTAACTTTGTGCGTTCCGCTTCTCGCAGTGCTCGTGGCAAACCGCGCTCGCTTGTGGGCGGCGGTGGCTCTCTCGCTCTCCCCCTCTTTTGCTCCCCCATGTGTGCGCAGTCGTCTCTTTGTACTCTCTGCGGCAGCTGCCTTGGCTGCAGTTGCCGGCGTTGCTGCCGTGATAAACAGTCTCTCCAGCCGCGGCCGAGGAGGAGGAGCCGCAGTTGAGTGGAAAAGCAGCAGCAGCAGCCACGCGGTGAACCGGCGTTACCAACAATTTTCCAAAGCTCTGCGCTCTATACATATCAAGGTGTTTTCGGCCAATTAACATTTACATATGGGAGAAAACCCACGCGTGCGAGGGGGAAACACTCGATCCCATACAGGTGGAGCAGGTGGAGTCCACGTGTTTGTGCTGCTCCTGGCAGAGCCAGTCTATGGGCTTCTCGTTATGGGCCACGGGAAGGGGAGCTTCACGCCCCGTCGGCCACGCGGTGATCACCAACCCCATCGCGGCTCCCTCCGCAGCCCTTGATTACAGGCGCCACGTGCAGCCCGGCCACTTGTTGCTCCTGTGTGTGCGTGTTCGTTGTTCCTGCTGTGGCACTTGCATCGCCGTGCTGGGCGTGCGCAGCGAGAGGCGGCGGTGCTGCGCGACGAATAAATAGAATCCGCCCGCGCGCTGCGCGTGAACTCCACTTGGCGTCTGACCTCGTTGAGAATTGCGCTCCTTGTCTCCGTGTGTCTGTGAATCCCCTGCGAGCCAGCGAGCGTGCAAATCGGGTGGTGTGGTAAAAAAATGGGGGGTGGGGGGGGGTTATGTAATTTATGCACTCTGGCTGGCTGGCCGGCCGTCTCAAGAAAGTCGTGCTCCGATCTCTGCTCCGGCCGGCCGGGAGCGTGGGTTGGATGCGATCGGAGTGGACCGGCTGGTTGGGTGTGTGCGAGCTGGTCCAGGAGCGGCGCGTTGTCAGGTTGCACGGCGCGTTGGTCGGAACGGTGTCCCCCGACGTGAAGTGACCGCGCGTGCTGGGGAACTTCCCAGAGAGCGACACGTCGCACGTCGTGCCGGATGAGGCGGGCGGTGCAACCCGAGGACGCGTCGGAGAACTCTTCAACAACAGCACGACCGCAACAAAAACGTGCGCAGTCGTGCGCACCCCGTGGAACGACCCCGGGGTGTCACGCGCCTGGCAGTCTGCGTGCCGCAGAGGAAGGCGGTGCCAAACGGAACTCTCGCGAGGGGCAGAGCATCGGCGTCTCGTGGCAGACCACTGGCCTCTTGCAAGGCGACATCGACGGAGCAACGTCGCATTTCCCGCTGTCTCTCGGCTTCACTTCACATTCCCAGGCGCCCCGCCACGAGGCGTGGCACAGCATGGCAAGGCGAGCCACGTTCGTGCCGGTGCTCGCCACGGGGGATTTTGTAGAATTTTGGGGCATTTTACGAAATCCGTGCGGAGCTCACTCTGCGTCGCCACGTCAAGAGGCGGACAGAATCCGTCTCGCGCAGCGGTCAGCGCCTTCGCGCGAGAGGAGGGCCCATCGTGGGTGCGGGTGTCGCCACGGAGCCGCCTGCCAGATGCCTTCGAGTGAATTCTCTGTTCCAGACATGATGGAGCAGCACTTCCCAAACGCGGTACGCGCACTGAGAGTGGCGTTCGTGGGCGCACGCACGAGCCAAGCGGATTTTTATGTTTTAAAATCCCAGAGCTAGAATTGTGTGGTTGCTGCATATTCACTGCAGCAGAACCAATTTTTTGTGTGTTTTACCCGCGGTGATTGGTGACCCGGCTTGGGCCATAAACTCGCTCCACGGGACAACCCGGTTTCAATCACGGGCGGCTGCAGCCTCAATTCTCACCCCAGGATATCGGCGGCGCCTCTAAACATAATAAATATATAATACACACACATAATAAATATATAATACACATATATAATACACACATATAATAAACACGGTGGCAGTTTTATGGTAATTGGTGAGCGGGCCGAGTGCGTGAGGTCACAACGCGCGTGTCACGATCCAGACGGCACTGCCACGAGGTTGACCCCGCAGTCTGGAGACGCGGACACAGCAGCCGCTGGGCCCCCCCCCCCACCTCCTGGGCTCGCTCGAGAAGCGGTCCCTAATGTCCTCCACGTGCCGCCCACGCCGATGTCCCGCAGCGCTTGGTGCTCGCCATTCGCCCCGCGCCGCAGTCCTCGTCACCGAATGGCCTCGTGCGGCCAAGGCGCAGAGGCCCCGGGCGAGTGGCGCCCCGCTGTGACGCTCATCGCAGGGCCGCCGTGCTGCTGTGTGTACTGCTACTGCTGCTGTGTGAGCTGCTGTTGTTGTGTGTGAGCTGCTGTTGTTGTGTGTGAGCTGCTGTTGTTGTGTGTGAGCTGCTGTTGTTGTGTGTGAGCTGCTGCTGCTGTGTGAGCTGCTGTTGTTTGTGAGCTGCTGTTGTTGTGTGTGAGCTGCTGTTGTTTGTGAGCTGCTGTTGTTGTGTGTGAGCTGCTGTTGTTGTGTGAGCTGCTGTTGTGTGTGAGCTGCTGCTGCTGTGTGAGCTGCTGTTGTGTGTGAGCTGCTGTTGTTGTGTGTGAGCTGCTGTTGTTTGTGAGCTGCTGTTGTTGTGTGTGAGCTGCTGTTGTTGTTTGTGAGCTGCTGTTGTTGTGTGAGCTGCTGTTGTGTGTGAGCTGCTGCTGCTGTGTGAGCTGCTGTTGTGTGTGAGCTGCTGTTGTTTGTGAGCTGCTGTTGTTGTGTGTGGGCTGCTGTTGTGTGTGAGCTGCTGTTGTGTGTGAGCTGCTGTTGTGTGTGAGCTGCTGTTGTGTGTGAGCTGCTGTTGTTGTGTGTGAGCTGCTGTTGTGTGTGAGCTGCTGCTGCTGTGTACTGCTACTGCTGTTGTGTGTGAGCTGCTGCTGTTGTTGTGTGTGACCTACTGTTGTTGTGTGTGAGCTGCTGTTGTTGTGTGTGAGCTGCTGTTGTGTGTGAGCTGCTGTTGTTGTGTGTGAGCTGCTGTTGTGTGTGAGCTGCTGTTGTTGTGTGTGAGCTGCTGTTGTTTGTGTGTGAGCTGCTGTTGTGTGTGAGCTGCTGTTGTGTGTGAGCTGCTGTTGTTGTGTGTGAGCTGCTGTTGTGTGTGAGCTGCTGTTGTGTGTGAGCTGCTGTTGTGTGTGAGCTGCTGTTGTTGTGTGTGAGCTGCTGTTGTGTGTGAGCTGCTGTTGTTGTGTGTGAGCTGCTGTTGTGTGTGAGCTGCTGTTGTTGTGTGTGAGCTGCTGTTGTTTGTGTGTGAGCTGCTGTTGTTGTGTGTGAGCTGCTGTTGTGTGTGAGCTGCTGTTGTTGTGTGTGAGCTGCTGTTGTTGTGTGTGAGCTGCTGTTGTTGTGTGTGAGCTGCTGTTGTTTGTGTGTGAGCTGCTGTTGTTTGTGTGTGAGCTGCTGTTGTTTGTGTGTGAGCTGCTGTTGTTGTGTGTGTGAGCTGCTGTTGTTTGTGTGTGAGCTGCTGCTGTTGTGTGTGTGAGCTGCTGTTGTGTGTGAGCTGCTGTTGTTGTGTGTGAGCTGCTGTTGTTTGTGTGTGAGCTGCTGTTGTTGTGTGTGAGCTGCTGTTGTGTGTGAGCTGCTGTTGTTGTGTGTGAGCTGCTGTTGTTTGTGTGTGAGCTGCTGTTGTTGTGTGTGAGCTGCTGTTGTGTGTGAGCTGCTGTTGTTGTGTGTGAGCTGCTGTTGTTTGTGTGTGAGCTGCTGTTGTGTGTGAGCTGCTGTTGTGTGTGAGCTGCTGTTGTTGTGTGTGAGCTGCTGTTGTGTGTGAGCTGCTGTTGTTGTGTGTGAGCTGCTGTTGTTTGTGTGTGAGCTGCTGTTGTTGTGTGTGTGAGCTGCTGTTGTTTGTGTGTGAGCTGCTGTTGTGTGTGAGCTGCTGCTGCTGTGTACTGCTACTGCTGTTGTGTGTGAGCTGCTGCTGTTGTTGTGTGTGAGCTACTGTTGTTGTGTGTGAGCTGCTGTTGTTGTGTGTGAGCTGCTGTTGTTGTGTGTGAGCTGCTGTTGTTTGTGAGCTGCTGTTGTTGTGTGTGAGCTACTGTTGTTGTGTGTGAGCTACTGTTGTTTGTGAGCTGCTGTTGTTTGTGAGCTGCTGTTGTTGTGTGAGCTGCTGTTGTTGTGTGTGAGCTACTGTTGTTGTGTGTGAGCTGCTGTTGTTGTGTGTGAGCTACTGTTGTTGTGTGTGAGCTGCTGTTGTTTGTGAGCTACTGTTGTTGTGTGTGAGCTGCTGTTGTTTGTGAGCTGCTGTTGTGTGTGAGCTGCTGTTGTTGTGTGTGAGCTGCTGTTGTTGTGTGTGAGCTGCTGTTGTTTGTGAGCTGCTGTTGTGTGTGAGCTGCTGCTGTTGTGTGTGTGAGCTACTGTTGTGTGTGAGCTACTGTTGTGTGTGAGCTACTGTTGTGTGTGAGCTACTGTTGTGTGTGAGCTACTGTTGTGTGTGAGCTACTGTTGTGTGTGAGCTACTGTTGTGTGTGAGCTGCTGTTGTTGTGTGTGAGCTACTGTTGTGTGTGAGCTACTGTTGTGTGTGAGCTGCTGTTGTTGTGTGTGAGCTACTGTTGTGTGTGAGCTGCTGCTGTTGTGTGTGAGCTGCTGCTGTTGTGTGTGAGCTGCTGTTGTTGTGTGTGTGAGCTGCTGCTGTTGTTGTGTGTGAGCTGCTGTTGTTGTTGTGTGTGAGCTGCTGTTGTTGTGTGTGAACTGCTGTTGTTGTGTGTGAGCTACTGCTGTTGTGTGTGAGCTACTGCTGTTGTGTGTGAGCTGCTGTTGTGTGTGTGAGCTGCTGTTGTTGTGTGTGAGCTACTGTTGTTGTGTGTGAGCTACTGCTGTTGTGTGTGAGCTACTGCTGTTGTGTGTGAGCTGCTGCTGTTGTGTGTGAGCTGCTGTTGTTGTGTGTGAGCTGCTGTTGTTGTGTGTGAGCTGCTGCTGTTGTGTGTGAGCTACTGCTGTTGTGTGTGAGCTACTGCTGTTGTGTGTGTGAGCTGCTGTTGTGTGTGTGAGCTACTGTTGTTGTGTGTGAGCTACTGCTGTTGTGTGTGAGCTGCTGTTGTTGTGTGAGCTGCTGTTGTGTGTGAGCTGCTGCTGTTGTGTGTGAGCTACTGCTGTTGTGTGTGAGCTACTGCTGTTGTGTGTGAGCTGCTGTTGTTGTGTGTGAGCTGCTGTTGTTGTGTGTGAGCTGCTGCTGTTGTGTGTGAGCTGCTGTTGTTGTGTGTGAGCTACTGCTGTTGTGTGTGAGCTGCTGTTGTGTGTGTGAGCTGCTGTTGTTGTGTGTGAGCTACTGTTGTTGTGTGTGAGCTACTGCTGTTGTGTGTGAGCTGCTGTTGTTGTGTGTGAGCTGCTGCTGTTGTGTGTGAGCTACTGCTGTTGTGTGTGAGCTGCTGTTGTTGTGTGTGAGCTGCTGTTGTTGTGTGTGAGCTGCTGTTGTTGTGTGTGAGCTGCTGCTGTTGTGTGTGAGCTACTGTTGTTGTGTGTGAGCTGCTGCTGTTGTGTGTGAGCTGCTGTTGTTGTGTGTGAGCTGCTGTTGTTGTGTGTGAGCTGCTGTTGTTGTGTGTGAGCTGCTGTTGTTGTGTGTGAGCTGCTGTTGTTGTGTGTGAGCTGCTGCTGTTGTGTGTGAGCTGCTGCGTGTTTGCGCTCATGCGAGTGGAGGAGGCGCGTGCTTTTGAATGAAAGACAGCAGCCGCATTGTTTATCTCCAC